AAGATGCGGTAGGCAGATGCAGCTAGCTCGTCTAATGTGTTGTTTTGAAACGAGACCAGCACAGCTTGCACCTGTTGATGAAGTTTGGGTAAGAAATGTTGTTTAAATAGGCCATCATCGAAGGTTCTCTGGCCGAAAACCTCTCTCATTCGTTGCAACATGTCTGTCTCAGAACCGTGTTGCAGGTCGTGGTTATTAAGGAATTGGTCTAACCTTTGTCTATCGGTTAGGTCTCCACATTTAAGGATAGATCGTTTCAGTGTTTCGTAAGGTTCAGAAACATCACTAGTAGACATACTAGGTGTTACGCACCTGTTGAATTCGCGCGGTAGTGCCTTGACTACTGCGAGGAATTACGCACGTGTGTCGTTCACGCCGTGCTCGTAGAAGTCGGCTTCTGAGTAGCAGAACAAGGCTTCGATGTTGTCTGGCCAAAAGGGCATTAGTTGGAACGAAGATGGGGACATAGTCCTTAGCTTAAGTACTTTGGGTGTCTGTTCAATCATAGTGAAATATCAAGTACGAGAATGAACGAGTGAAAAAATATATATATCCAAAAACACGAAACAAATATCACAATGTACAAAAAATTAGAGTAAGGCAATGATATATAAAATCCTAAAACGGAACAGACTCACAGTTTGCAATTTGGCGTACCAGACCACGTCGGGCTCACCAATGAAGATGCCACAGGTATTCGGAGTTTGACAACGCTTTAACCAGTCAGTCAGCTACAACGTAGGACCAGGCACATATGTGCATCGGTCCAGGTTGCCATACCTCATTAGCACAGCAAGATGAACAGCGGATTCATAGGAGTTGTTAGGTCAAAGGTTGCAGTAAGGATATAGTATTACTTACTTTACTTACTTACTTACGCCTGTTGCTCCCAATGGAGCATAGGCCGCTGACCAGTATTCTCCAACCCACTCTATCCTGGGCCTTCTTTTCTAGTTCCATCCAATTCTTGTTCATTTTTCTCATGTCTATCTCCATTTCCCGGCGTAATGTGTTCTTTGGTCTTCCTCTTTTCCTTTGACCTTCAGGATTCCATGTGAGGGCTTGTCTTGTGACACAGTTGGGTGCTTTCCTGAATGTGTGTCCTATCCACTTCCAGCGCTTCTTCCTGATTTCTTCCTCCACTGGGATCTGGTTTGTTCTCTCCCACAGTGCGCTGTTGCTAATAGTGTCCGGCCAATGGATCTGAAGTATTTTGCGTAGACAATTGTTAATAAACACCTGTATTTTCTGGATGATGGCTTTCGTAGTTCTCCAGGTTTCTTCCCCATACAGTAGAACTGTCTTGACATTTGTATTGAAAATCCTGACCTTGGTGTTGGTTGACAGTTGCTTTGAGTTCCAGATGTTCCTCAGTTGTAAATATGCTGCTCTTGCTTTGCCGATCCGCGCCTTCACATCTGCATCAGATCCACCCTGTTCATCAATGATGCTGCCCAAATACGCAAAGGTTTTTACATCTTCCAAATCTTCTCCGTCAATTTTGATTGAATTGGTGCATTCTGTGTTGTATCGGAGAATCCTGCTTTTCCCTTTGTGTATATTGAGACCTATTGCTGCTGAGGCTGCTGCCACACTGTTTGTCTTCTCCTGCATCTGTTGTTGCGTTTGGGATAGAAGGGCCAGATCGTCTGCGAAGTCTAGACCATCCAACTGCATCTTAGATGTCCATTGTATCCCGCGCTTTCCTTTGGACGTTGACGTTTTCATGATCCAGTCGATCACCAGGAGAAAGAGAAAGGGTGAGAGTAAGCAACCTTGCCTAACACCGGTCTTCACTTTGAACGACTTTGTCAACTGTCCTCCATGCACGATTTTGCAGTGTAATCCATCATATGAGTTCTGTATGATATTGACTATCTTCTGAGGCACGCCGTAGTGTCGAAGAAGTTTCCATAGTGTTGTTCTGTCCACGCTATCAAATGCCTTTTCGTAGTCAATGAAGTTGATGTAGAGTGATGAATTCCATTCAATTGATTGTTGCACAATTATCCGTAGAGTTGCGATTTGGTCTGTATACGATCTATCCTTACGGAATCCTGCCTGTTGGTCACGAAGTTGGGCGTCTACGCAGTCCTTCATCCTGTTTAACAATACCCTGTTGAAGACTTTTCCCGGTATTGAGAGAAGAGTGATGCCCCTATAGTTATCACACTTGCTGAGATCGCCTTTCTTCGGTATTCTGATCAGGAGTCCTTCTGTCCAGTCTTTTGGTACTTGTTCCTCATCCCAAATCTTATTGAAGAGAATGTGGAGCATCCTTACAGTTGCCGCTACGTCTGCTTTTAGTGCCTCTGCTGAAATGTTTTCTGGTCCTGCTGCTTTGCCAGTCTTGATTGGTCTGATGGCCATGCTGATTTCTTCAATTGTTGGTGGGCCAACATTAATTGAGAGGTCCGTGGGTGCAGCTTCGATGTTGGGTGGGTTCAGTGGGGCTGGTCGATTCAAGAGTTCTTTGAAGTGTTCTACCCACCTGTTTTGTTGCTCTTCAATGTTGGTGATTACCTTGCCTTCCTTGCTTTTCACTGGTCGTTCTGGTTTGCGGCGATTTCCAGAGAGTTTCTTTGTCGTGTCATACAATTGTCTCATGTTTCCTTCTATTGCAGCCTTTTCCGCCGTCGTTGCTAAATCTTCAACATATTTACGTTTGCCGGTTCTGATGCTCCTCTTCACTTGTTTGTTTATTTCCGTGTATTCAGCTTGTGCCTTGGCTTTTTCTGCTCTTGTTCGGCTGGTATTGATCGCTGCCTTCTTGTTCCTCCTTTCTAGAATCTTATCCAGTGTACCATCAGTGATCCATTCCTTGTGGTGATGCTTCTTGTGACCCAGGACCTCATGACATGTTGAAGTGATTGCCTCTTTGATCCCCTTCCAGTTGCTCTCCACAGTAGTTCCTTCTCCATTGAGTAGATCATGAAAGGCCTGGAACTTGTTGCTGAGGACTATCTTGAATTTCTTGAGTTTGTTAGTATCCTGGAGAAAGGCCGTATTGAACTTTTGTGATACTGTCTGCCCCGTTGTCCAGTGCTTCTTGAGTTTCAATTTCATCTTGGCGACCAGTAAGTGATGATCTGATGCTATATCAGCTCCTCTCTTGGTTCTCACGTCCTCTATAGTCCTCCTGAACGTTTTGTTGATGCAAATATGGTCGATTTGGTTTTGTGTAGAGTGATCCGGTGAAGTCCATGTGGTTTTGTGTATGCGTTTATGTGGGAATATGGTGCCGCCTATGACCAGCTTATTGAAGGCACATAGATTTGCAAATCTCTCACCATTTTCGTTTCTTTCTCCCAGTCCGTGTCGTCCCATGATATCTTCATATCCAGTGTTGTCCGTTCCCACCTTGGCGTTGAAATCTCCCATCAGAATGGTCAAGTCCTTTGTTGGGCACTTCTCGACTATTGACTGCAGCCTATTGTAGAATTGATCTTTAGCGTCTTCATTGTAGTCGTTGGTAGGCGCATAGCATTGGATGATGTTCATTGAAATGCCCTCTTTCTTTGTTTTAAACGAGGCTTTGATGATCCTTGGTCCATGAGATTCCCATCCTATAAGTGCATTTTGCGCTTGTTTGGACAGCATCAATGCAACTCCTTGTGTATGTGGTGCATTTTCTTCTTCATGGCCGGAGTATAACAGGAGCTCTCCTGTAGTTAGTCGTTGTTGTCCAACTTGTGTCCAATGTGTTTCACTGATCCCAAGTACCTCTAGGTTGTATCTTCTCATTTCTGCAGCAATCTGGAAGGCTCTTCCGGTGTCCCACATTGTACGAACATTCCATGTACCTAAATAAATGGTCGCTCTGGTTGTCAGAAGGGGCATCGGCCTCGTAACTTCCGAAGGGATTCGGCTTTCATCATGAGGCGTCATAATTCTTCTAAATGAAGATCTTCTGACTCCCAGGGCAGAGTTTAAATGGTTTGAATAATTTTTTCTGGTTGGCGTTTTTTTAGCGAGTTAGTTTTCTACGGGATGGGGACGCTAACCCCATGCCCAACCCTCCTCCTTTATCCGGGCTTGGGACCGGCAGTACCCCCCCTGAGGGACTCCAGGCGGAGTTAAGGATATAGTATAGGAAGAAAGAATTAGCTAACAGAAGACTCTGCATTTTGTCAGCGTCTTCACCAAACAGGACTATGTCATCTGCGTATTCTAAGTCGATAAGTGGACCTCCTGGAAGGAGATCAATACCCGAGAATTCAGTCAACGAGAGTGTTATTTCCATCAATAGGTCTATGATGAAGTTAAACAGAAATGGAGAAAGTGGACAGCCTTGACGGACACCACTTGAGGTTGCAAAAGTAGATGACAGTTCGCCATAAGCCCTGACTCGACTAGTAGTGTTCGAGTAAAAAGCCTTCACAAGGTTTATGTACTTCTGAGGTACGCCTTTCAATGACAGACACTGCCACAGAGTTTCGCGGTCTACCGAGTCAAATGCTGCTTTAACCAGTAACACCTTCTAACATGAATCGTACACACCAAGTGAAATCAAAAGACGGAATCGAGAAGATTGGAAGATACATTTGATGTGATATCAATTTATCGAGAATCGTCTGATCTAATCTGGTTAGCGATTGCAGTAGATGTTGAGCACGGTGTTCCCACTCGTGATCTGGTGCGCATGCATGACCGAGCGCCTTCAGCTAGGTGAGTCCATTAAAACTAATGTGGTCAGCATCCAATGTCGTAAACTTACAGAGCTATTTATTTTGGGGATTTATTTACTGCCACAGTGTGAAGTACGGAGTATCATTGGAGATTCGTCCTACATCATGCATCATCACGATGACATCACTTTCATTATTTGAAGTATGGACGTTATCAGACAGTATGGTCGAACTCAAATCAAATTTAAAATTGTCTGGATTTGACCGCTTCTGTAAAACTTTACGAATTGTCGAGGTGACGCCCCAATCGTATTACGGCGGTTTGACCTTGAAGCGCTCAGTAACCTCAGTCAGTGGAAGATACCACTGAACCGTTGCCGTGCTCACATGGTTAGTGTTAATGAGTTTTCTTGCCACACCATGATTGTCTATCTATCAGTCTATAGAATTTCTAAAAATGAGTAACAACATATATATTTATATCTTTCCGACAAATTTTCATATCATATTATTCGGAAAAAATCACATGTCAATACAAATTGACCAAAATCAGTGTTAGACCAATGTATCCTTGCTTTGTAAATTATATATTTTAGTAAGGTAGATATAGGAAAACTTAATCTATAGTTGATATTAACAAAAGTGATTGATTTTGAGTAAATATTGCGATATTTATCTTATTGAAGTTCGTGACTAACTGTGTGATCAGTTATGAAAAATAGTATGCGTGTTTTTTAGGTCACTAGATGTCTACTGAACGCACACAAGTTGTAATAAGAGTAGGAGAGCCTTGTTATTCTATTATTTCAATAGTCATCTGGAGAGAGACAAGACTAAAATTACTTTTTAACATTGGTTGAGTTCAAAGTGGTAGCACTTCTGATTGTACTAAAGTGTAGTGACAACACTCGGTCCCTATCAGGAGTATGAAATTTAGACTAGGGATAAGAATTGACTGGAATTTTACCCAATCTGCATTCTTGGTTGAGGAAAGTGAGCAACCTTAAAAATATTCATCTTCTATGGATCCACAAATCTTCGTAGACCGAATCTCTCCCAATGAAGAAAGAAGCTCCAAGTATCACTATCAATCACTAAATCTAGATTATTACATTTACCTTACATACATGTGTTAAATTAGCTTATTTGAATGTTACATACACATATCCTTCATGTTAGTCGCTTCTTACTCATTTGCTACCCCCATCCGCCTTCTATTCCCTTCCTAATTGTTCTAATAATTGTCCGACTCTGGTTGATTTTGTTATAACTGTGTTCTGATGTGTGATGTCTTGGATCGATTTCAGGTTCCATTTTTTAAACTTTAACTGGGCATGCCATCAGGATTTTAACAAATATAAGACTCAGTGCTTTATATATTGCTGGAACTGCAAAATAGTGAGGGTCGTCTAACCAACTATTATGAGTCAGTGTCTTCAAGTTGCTTTCATGGAGTCATTTTACAGAACATTAGTTTATTTGAGGGTATTTTGTTACATAACAGGAAACTTGTTTTCATCCCACTCTTACTTTTTGCAGAATCACTCAATCATGGTTAATGGTGAAAGGAGGACCCCTTCGGTCATTTTAATGGACTTCTTTAATATGATTCCGTTCACAGATCGGACCAGCGTTTCTTCAACTTTGACCGAAATCCGCAACAGCCTGGATGATGTAATTCCAAATACTAATCCTATAGCACCATTTATTAGCAAAATCAGGCAGTTACAGTTAGTTTTCATGAGAATTCCCATGGTATTAAGAAAACAAATCAAATCCCTATTACTGGAAGGCTTAGAAGCGTCGTCAGAAATCTCCAACCTACTTCTGTGTATTTTCACACTGTGTCTATGTTTATTGGAATTAAGCGTTCTGAGAAACTGTGATCGGTCAGACTTAGAAAGCGAAGATATTTGGACAACTATCAAAGAATTAAATCAGTCTATATTCCCAAGATTATGTGAAAAAATAAAGCAACAAAAAACGAATCTGCCTTCACTTTTATCATGGTCATATTGTATGTTAGCGTTCACCTTCTATGCTTGTGCAGAGTGGGTACATAATCAAGGTTGTAAACCTTCACCTTCGTTCTGTGTCAAGAATTCTGTGGACTTAGATGAAGCTATTTTGGATCATCCAACTGTGCCAGAAATATTGCGCCATATTCTCTATAATCAGGTAAAGAATAGACCTTATTTTACACCACCTACTTCACGAACGCTAATAGATCTTCTATTTTCAAGTGCAATATCTAGCAATGCAGGAATTTTAATGTCTTGCAAGTATAAAAAAACATATGACCTATCTGACTGCTGTATTGAATTCGATGAACCTCCGGTGCAACCTGTCAAAGTTGATGAAATCAAAGTTAATATTAAAGACAAACCACGTCAATTGCCTTCATGTTTTCAAGATAATTTGCAAACAGGTTCCTTCAAAAAAATTTTTTCTAACCTAAGTTTGTTGAAACAACTACTTGGAAATCCTGACTGCCAAAATTCTTTACTGGAACCATTAATTTTTAGCTTACGACAGTCACCTTTCATATTGAAACGCTTGAGAAGTTGCTTGGCAAGTGGTCTAAAACCAAATGACACTAATGTCTGCTTATATGAGAAAATTTATACCTTACTACTGCAACTGTGGTTTCAAGCTGCTATGGATCGTACGTTGCTTAAGAATTTTCCACAATCATATATATGGTTGTGTGGCTTCACTTGCCCGATGTATGAGGTATGTTTTCGTATTATGAATTATTTGATTACATGAAATTTCTGATGATTTTCTCCATCAGTATAAAGCTTATGTATCGACGTTTAGAGCCACAAGTTGCTTTTTCGTGATGTAAATTGGCAATCAGGTTAAAAATAGCTTATTAATGTAAATTTGATAAGTAAGTCAAATTCGTGTTGTCACAACCTATATATTCTATAGTAAAGGTTGTTTAATTCATTCACGTTACTAGGTGCTGATGTGGATTTTCCAGTCTGCTTTTGTTGCTCGTTTCAATGCAGCGATAAGTACAGATTTACAGAAAAGAACATCGTATTACCTAACATACTAGTTCATCGTTTAAATTTATCTTACTTCAGAACACCATAATAAAGTGGCATTCAGGCAAAAACTCAATTATAATGGTCATCTTCCATAACAGGACCATAGCGAACAAGATAAGGTGAAAAATCGGATTGTACGCGCGTCTAAATGACTAGCACAAATTTTAAGGTTTTTTGTCGGTTATTCAAGCATGTATTTTCACCGTTAGCGTTATGGAACATCAGCAGTACATATCTCGGTCGTCTCTGTTAGTGTAACTCGTCATAAGTTTATTTGCTTATCACACCCAAGACGTTCAGAAGGCATTATTTGCCGAATACCGTCAGAACCTCTCATATTTTACTTTCAGTATACTTGTTTTGTAGTCTTGAAATAAGACACCATTTGTGAATCCCCTTTACCTAGTTCCGTCAAATTAGTTTCTTGTCCCGTCTATAATTAAATCTTGTATCTTAAAGTTACTATCAAGAAAAAACGATAAATTTGTGGATGCTCAGTTTATTGCTAAATGAAAACAAAATTTCTACTACCCAATAGTACATTGGTCTTAAACCAGTCACTCAATATTTATCTAGTCTTAGTTTTATACTAAATTTGCCAATATTAATTACCATACATAAAAATTAGGATGGCTTCCCAACTAGTATTGTAAACTATAGTCTGTAAGAATTAACGGATTCTCGTTATATGTTCACAAAAAAGCAAGGCGGATACAATAGTTAAAAGCCTGTATAATAATGTCGCTATTCTGATGGAGTTTTGTTTTCTGAGGTGGATGGTTCGGTCGTAGAGCTTTCATCGCTCTTCTGAACGACATCATCAGCACAAACTTCAGGTAGAAGTGTCACTATTCAAAGTACCAAGCTTTCAATAATGAAGAAAAAAAAGATAAATTTCTTCAAGAAAAGCAATCAAGGTACAAGTGATTGCATTATTAAGGTCAATATTTAGATGTTGCTATAATTTTTCGTTACTAATCACCGATGATCTAGCGCCGTATAATTCTAACGAGATGTCAGTATTTTCTGAACAATAGGCGTACGTTATTGATACAGCTACCTCTGTCATTATTCAGTTCTTATAAACTTTTGTTTTATAAGTTCTTCATTACATTGCCCGCCGGATTATTGTGGATTAACAACATGTGAAGCTGCACGACAGAGTAATTTAAGGATATGTGACCGAGAATGTATCCTTTGTCGGGTTTGTGCATGCGATGTTTTATGATATTCTTAAAAATAAAGCACTCACTTATTATTTATTGAAGTTAATGATAATCCTTTTAATTCTATAGGTAATGAGTATGACTGGATTCTATAATGCTGTTATATGGACTGGGCGTTTTCTGACTGCTTATGAGAATATGTTTAGGTCATCAATTTTTAACTCACCGCACTGGTACCTACAAATGATTACGGATGCAGTGATTGCTATAATAGATCGATCAGGAAAAGGTCAGTTTACTTTCTGCATGATAATCATGAGTACGTTAATATATTTTGTTATATCTTTTAGGTAGTCTACTTCTACATAAAAAGATGTGTCCATCTTCTTGTGTTATGTTAGATGCAGTTAGCTAGAGTTTCTGGATCTATTTGAATGCTAGTTAGCACTCGTTGATAAGGCATATATGTCGCTGTTGTTTTGAGACACCAATCGACATCACGTGCCAAATCCATCAATCAGAATTTCAGTTATAATTTCTTCACCCGGCGTCCGCTATTTTGTCTGTAGTCCAACATTCCTAGTCTTGAGCAATCATACGTTCTGACTGACACAATCAACCTCAAGCTGACGTAGGCTTGACTTCTATTAACTTGTCTATCCACATACCTTTCTCTATCCCCAGTTGTGAATCTAAAAGAAAAGTCTACACCTATTTATTTGAACACATAAATATTGGTACAAGAGCGCACCAAATATATATGCGCCATATAAACAATGAGAATGGGAAGAGAAAAAAAAGAAGGTAAGGAGCGCAGAAAAAAAACAATAACGACCAGATTAGTGTAAGGTAGTGTAATAATAATAATAATGGGGGGAACAGTCTACACCTAAGCTTCTATCGTATTTGAACCACTGAGTATATATCTCAAATACTTATTAGCTTCTATACATAAATTGCGAGAACACAATGCACCCCGAATGTAAAATCATACTTCCCATTTAATCGTATCATAAGTCATGGAGAACAGTACATAATTCATTAACAATAATTAAGAAACAGTAAAACACATGATAATCACTGTTGGCTTACAATAAAGGGATATATAGGAATACGATTGTTATCTATTAGGTATACAATAGAAGTATAAGTAATGATAGTTCGTGAATTAGTCCCAAGAGTCAAACTTTTTTCGATACCCACTCTATCACAACAGTAATTTTGAAGGGACTTTCACCTTGCTCAGTGATTAGAATTCTTCACCCGGTGCTAATATCAGTGAAGTTAGAATGTAGTTGTTGAGCTGTAGTTAATTATATTTGGTAATGATCAATATCGTATAATCTAGTCCATAATGCTGATCAAATCCTTTTGATTTGAATAAAGCAATGACAACAAGCATAGTAGAATAATACACATCCATTTATTTTACGGATTCTCTTAAACTGCTTATAATTCAGAAACAATAGTATGAATTAAGTAACAAACGGATCTACATATCTTACATCAAATCGACAGAAAGGTCTTCATCAGTGAACATCGGTAAAAAAAGTGAATAAAACTAGAAATGTTCGTACAGTTTATTATTTATGCTAACTAATATGAATATTTTATTGGGGAATTTTCGAAAATATACTTGTAGAAACGTAAAACTAGCGCGAAAATTTAGGTGTTATAAACAATGGATTGGTTAAAAGGAATGTAACTGGTAGCATGAAATATGTTATCTAACAAAGTATTAAGAATTGTGATCACTAGGCCAGTGCACGACTGAAAATGGTACTTTTTGAATAGATATAACTGGTTTGTCCTGCAATAAGGATGGATTTAACGAAACAATTAATACAAAGTTATTTCAAAATGTTGACACCATATCCACCACCAAGTAAACAATAGGCAATCGCACTACTAAAAATATGTTGGCCTTTTAGCCTCAACTGTCAGTCTTTGAGAAACTAATGCCGAAAGGAACGATCTGTCTACATTGTATTTATTGCATAGAATTGGTTGTTGTGGTAGACAAACTGCTAAGTTAGCAATTCACCTTCTGAAGAAATTACATGTTATGGTCATCAGTTAGGACAATTTTAATAAGTAGGATAATAGTTAAACTTTTTTTTAATTCAGGCGCGGTGACAATTTTTGAAGACAGTAACACTACGAGTCAAGGGATAATTATTAGCATAAACTAAAATGCCAGCTCAACGTGTTAAAGATGTTGACCTATGATTTAGGTACGATAGGTCCAGGTTGATCACATATTTGCTGCGTACAATAACACTACGATTCGTTTCTAAGACTCTGGTCTATGCAACGTTTCAATTCAGTAGCCTTCAAACACGAGTCAGAAGCACTTGCCAATGAGTTTGATACGATTTGGTGAAAAATCGGTAAACAACACGGGCTTAACTATGAATATCGAGTATAAACCAAATAAATGTTTTTCTTATTTGTCATGTTATAGGTAGTCAACAGGATATATCATCTGATCAACTGGATGAATTGCTTTGTAGTTGTATGGCTGCAATTGTCAGACCATTTCATGCTCTCAGAATTGAAGATCACGAAGTTTATGCTGAAATGTCTCGAGCGATTAAAGTCCCTTTAGAATCAATTGTATCGCATCTTTCAAGTTGTTTAGTTATAAAAGATAGTTCAAGTACAAATATCAAAGAAAAGAAAAGAAAAACGACAGAACCAACAAGTACAACAACTATAAATTTTAGATTAAAAGATTTCATAGTTCATCATCTTATATTTCCAATGATCAGAGCATGTGACAAATGGGCAATGGGACAAGCGAAGTTGGGAATAAAACCACATTGTGCAAAAGCTCTTCTTAATCAACTTATTATTGACGCTAAAATTCAAAATGAACACTTAGAAGGCCCTCCTCAAATGGCACAAAAGTTGGATATCGTTAGACCACCTGCTGTAGGTGGCTTGCATGTAGCGGAAAAACTTTCGTTAAAACGAAAACGATAAGATTTTTCATGTACAGCTGTAAAAAATGTGCTGATTAATAAATTTCTAATTCTTATAAGAGTAAAAATGTATATACGAATAGCTGGTTTTTCGAACGTTCACGTGCACAACAAACAAATCCAAGGAATCTTAGATAGAAGACTCTGTCCTTTAATCTTGTAAATGTGACTAGAAGAAAAGGTCCTTTTTTCTCATTAGCTTAACTTTCTTATTTAAGAAGTACATAGGAATAATGAAAAAGTACGTAATTGAGAGATAATAAATATTTGCATTTTATTCAGAGTCCGAAGATAATATTTGCACTCTACGAAATACACCCCCAACAGGTTCATCATTCTCAGGATGTCGTATTTCCATTGGTCTATATTTCCAAAACAAGAAAAGAAAATTTTTTTGAAAAAACACAATGAAGATGTAAAAAGTAACACAAATCAACAGCACATATATAGTTAGCAGTTCAAAAACAAATCCTAATAAACTTGTTACATTAAGGATTGTGATTTCACATACAGAGTCAAGATATCAAGTGAAAAAAACTCACGTTACTGTGATCATAATAACAAAGAGGCAAAATAAACGAAAGCCTGAAAGAATCTTATTTTTATTAAGAAACTCCAAGTGTAGTTGTTAAGAATTTGAATATTCATAAAGATTAATAATTGTGCGAAAGAGTTGCGTAAAATGTGGAAATGTAATCAGAAGGAAATAATGGAAACAGAATTAAGTTTGAGAGTTATGATCAATGGAGATAAAGCACAGGGTAAACGCTTTGTAATATTGGAAGTTAAGACCATGGTAAAGGAAATCACATAAGTTCATTTTGTATACACAATTCTGGCTTGTCTAGATTTATAGTGAACTTCCAGCAACACTGACAAAAGCTCATTGTTCTGGGCTAGTGAAGAACAGGCAAAGTTATCCGCTTAAGTGTTCCAGAATATAACAGGAAAGTTTCATGTATTATAAAATCTCTCATCGAGCGAAACAATTAAGCAAATTTCACCTGTAGAGTGTATCAGTTAAGCCAGGGGACAAAAAATATCAATATTAAGATTTAGGTCTAATGAGTTAATGAGATAATCATCAGGATGATTTAATATCTTTTTAAGTGTACAAGAATTTTTATTGGTAAAAAGGCGTACGAATTTAAATTAATTATATCAGAAACGCGAAATAAAGCCAATTAATTTCAAAAATACGTAGTAGATTCACTATTATCTAGTCTCCGGTTTTTCACTATAAAGCTGTCACCAATCACTGGTTTAAACATGTACAATCTGTTTAGAGTAATACACTGAAGGATAAATGATGCGGACACAAAAACCATATAATTGGAATACTTACGAGTCTGAATGATAAGTATCATGACCATCTTCATTTTCATCATCTGAGGATAATAGACGCCTTCTCTTTTGAACTGGCATTTTCGGAGACCTTTGTGAAATATAGAGTAAATATAATAGAAAAATGTTGTATATGAATACTAGCATAAGCATATCCGAGAATAGAGTTCTAACATGTAGCAGAATAAGGGTTAGAATCAAACTCTGACAGTCAGTGCTTATTTTGAACATGAAACCAATATTTGGTAATTGACGCTATATCTGGTTAACGTTAGGTTCCATAAGTAGATACTAATGAATACCAACTTGCGATGCGACTTCAAATAAGCGATTACCATTATCACACTCAAATGTAGGGAAATTATTACTAGATTTAATATCAGCAGTTGAATCAGGAAGAAGTCGTGCACCATAGGACTGTCAGGACCATAGGTGTAGAAACCATATATAATAGTTGAGTTCGCTATTAACCAATACACATTTTATTTTAGTTCCATGAAGCGATGTTTGCTCTTGTTCATGTACTAGAGAAGCACTTTCTTGTTTTTATCTGCTTAGAATTTCTAGAATTACGATGGTCAATCAGCTACAACGTAAAACCAGGCACATATGTACATCGGTTCAGGTTGCCATACCTCATTAGCACAACAAGATGAACACCGGATTCATAGAAGTAGTTAATCCAGTGGTGGTAATATACAAAGGAAAGACTACATATAAGGACATAATACAGGAAGAATGAATTAGTACGTAGATAGAAATATATAAAGCGATTTTAATCTCATACTTTAAAGGAAGACAGAGTGTATACACCGACGCCATTGTGATCGATTCTGAGCCATGTTACCAAGAGTCTCCAACCATTGGTTACGAAAGTTACGCAGACCCCAACCAAGTAGTCTGCATCTACCAACATGGCTCAGACTAGAGGTTAGTGTCTTCAAGCACTGATGCCACGTTTTGGTTTGGCCGCCCCTAACTTTCTTCCAACTATCTCTAACACCGGTTAGCATTGTACGTCGTTGTAATCGGTGTTCAGGCATACGTAACACGTGCCCAACCATCTCAGCCGATGAAGATTAACAACCTCATCAACTGATTTACCATCATTCCCTAATACCATGCGTCTAACCTCACTATTACTTACCCGATGATCCCAGCAAACGCCAGCAATATTTCTAAGACATCTGTGGTCAAATACTAGTAGCTTACAAGTGTCTTCTACTCTTAATGGCCAAGTTTCGCAGCCGTAAAGTAAAACACAACAAACGAGCTTTTCGAATTCGTGCTGAGATTCGTCAAACACCAACCGATTAGGGCTGATCAAACTTTCAAGATAAGTGAAGTTGTCAACGAGTTCGACTGCTTCACATCCTATCCTTAGTTCAGGTGTTGATGCAGGCCAGTCCTGAAGCAACAACTTGCATTTAGAGGGGGAGAAGCGCACCCCGCGATGGTCATTTCACAGATACTTAGAAAGCTTAAATGTAAGTACAGGGAAACTCGTGTGTGTAACAGTGAAATTATGGAAGAAAAACTATAAAAATAACTATCAAGGGATGCCTTTCCAACGTTTTCCTTACTTACATAAAAAACAATCAGTATTGTTAATTATTCCAGCAACTGATTTTTTTCAAGCGTCACGTTCATACCAGCTTCGGAGTGGGATAATGAATTAGAGATAAAAGAAACTCAACTGAATACCTAAGGAAGTTCTACGCAGTCTACTACTTATGAGTAAACGTTTACGCAAATTTATGGACATCATATCCCAGTTTACACACTGCCTAATTTTTAATAATTTTTTCAAAATGGAATTTTATATACATAAAAAGAAATAGCCACTATGATATTTTTGAACACCATATAACTATATGTACATGATATAACGTTATTAGACCTAATTTTACCCTGATTCTGAGTTTGGAGAAACTGCTCCACAGGTATAATCATCTTGAGTATGATTCACATAGGTAATGTGATCCATTTGATCAGATGGTCTATCTGATTCAACTAACTGATTAATATATTCAGGACTGGTATTTTTATTTGTGTTATGTTTTGAATCTGAGTTGTGTGAAGTATTTGCTTCTTCTTCTTCTTTTTCTTCTTCTTCATATGATGAATTCATGGATCGTTCGTCATCTGACGTTGATGATGATTTTTTCTTGCGACTCTTGCTTTTCTTAAGTTCTTTTGAAACATCCATATCCACGTTTTGTACTTTTGTACGTTTCCTTTTATAGACAGCTGTTTTAAGTTGATCCTCATTATCCACTAGATCAAGTTCAAGAATTTTAGCAGCTACTACACGTCTGGCACGAATAGGTGGAATATATTTGTCTGATCGATTTTCATCCATAATTAATTCTTGTTCCAAACAACGTTGAACAGCTAAATCATGGTCTACCTTTCTTTCATTCATGATTTCAGTTAGCATATCTATAAGTAGACGTAAACAACATATCATAAAACGCAACAATAGTTACGAATGGACAATTAATTTTATCTACAATTAATATTAGAAGTATACATTTTATTTTGGTAAAAACTTTATATCGACCTTAAAATGAAAAGTACCATGAGTGAAAAACACTATAAATGTAAGTTTAAAAACTGCATACATGATATGGACTCTTACTTTTTGAACCTTTGTGTAACTCGACTATGTCTCTTAGTCGGGCTATCTCCTGTTCAGTCCACTCACTGGATTCTCCATTGTTGAGTAAACATCGATTTCGTCCGCTAAGAGGTTTAGGGGGACGAACTCTAAAATGTTTATCAATAATGAATTTTATGGTTTGTATTATACGGAATTCAAAGATGTTGAACTTATACATAGAAATTTTAATATTTTATAAACCGAATTCCTTAAAAATAATAGTACTGAATGTATAAAAAATTCGATTGGTTGTCTATTTGCACCCAAACATATTAGAGCAAAATCATTTGTGTGAAAATTTTTTAAAGATAACTTATTCGTCTAATAAAAGAGCAACCCTACTCAATATACACGAATAATTCATTTAATTCTGAAATTCGATCTACGTTTACAATCATCCATTCTCTCACCTACGTCGAGGATTTTCCATTTTTACATTCATTGGAAACCTCACTACAGGTTCATATAATGCAATCTAATATTTATGCAAAAGGGAAGTTAGTAAGATCTTTCCTACCCGACTATCTACCGAATTAAATGATTTAATCGAAGCTGCTTTTACTTGTATGTTCACTCAATCCATAAACAACACTACTGTAATTTTAAGTTACCTAGAAATGTATGTAAACAGCAGTGTTCTTTCTTAATGTCAATTCTTTGTAACTATACGCCTAGTACTGCCTTCTGATATTCCACAGTGCAATGAAATACAAGGTTTTAAGAGTACCCATTAAATTTATTGGTGTATTATCATAAAAAATTCGCACCTATTGTCCTCATAATCCCGCCGAACATTTTATAACTCGTTACTACTTTTACAAATGATACTAAATTTAGAGACATACTGTTAACTGAATCAAATCTGTTTAATCAGTGTTGACTTTATATATTCCATTGTAAAACCTGCATAACTAATTTAAAGACATTATAGAGTTAACGGAGAATGTTGATGCTGTTTGTGGGGTTCGAACTTGCCTAGTTTTATAGTCTAAAACATTACCACTGAACTATTCGGGCGGTGACTGATCTCATGTACGACTGTGATATTTACGATTAATTGATCACTGAGTGGTGACCAATATCATGTTCGTCTAGTGTCTTTTAGTGTTGATGAAATATGCATGGAGTATTAGGTTGTTATTTGTTCAGAATAAAATAACAATAAGAATATTTTAGAGAAAAAAATTATATAAATTAACTAACGTAATTTCTTTGAGTTGTTTCGCTGATGTAATCAAGCCCAATATAATCAATCTGGCAATAATTTGTCGACGAGTTTTACTTGGATCGGAAAAATGTTTGACTAATAGATCAGCTAAATCGTTACCTATTAAATTAGTTTTAGAAAGAAAAAAAATAGTTATTTCATTCTATCAAAACGATATGTGATTATGAGGACTTATTTATTCCACTATGATCATAGTCTTCGGTCAGTCTCCATTTATATCCCGAATCTAACTTTAATCAAGACTTTTTCCACACAGAGTAGGTACGTTGTACTGCTTTACAAATAACTAATTGTTTTTAGATTGTAACCAACTGTTGAATAGAATTCGCCAAAGAAATAAATCCTTGCTACACTCATTGTTCCCGATTTTATTAACATTATTTTTATGACAAATAGTGTTCATATGTAGAGCCATATACAATTTCTAACCATGAAGAACAAATAGGTTTGACTGAATATATTTAGAATTGCATTACTTGTTTCCAACAACACATTGGCCTAAGCGGATTATATACATTCAAATTATTATCATTTCCCTATACCATTCGATGCAAATAAAATATTCCTAATAAAATACCTAATAAAAGAAAACTTAAAAATGGAATGTGAATGAGAAAATCCATTTTATTCAAAAATATTATCACGAAATAAATAACCTACCAGAAGGTACAGGATCATGACGATAAGCTTCAAATAGTTGAGTTAATTCTTTATCATGTTCACTGGTCCAATGAATAGTTTTCTTACTGTAAAAAAATTTTGGATTCTTTTAAAAATGATTCGTTTACTGTAGCTGAATCATTAACGTAAACGAATAAGTGGGAATAATAAAACAAACGGAAACGATTTTATCATGTCACGAGAGAAAAATGGTTTTTTCCCCATGATATTGTAGACTGCATTTCTAACATAAGTTAAGGTACGAACATACATGATATATATATAGTGTTAACTTACTTGCTCTCAAAAGTACCATATCCTTGAACTGTCTCATAACTTTCTTTAGGAGTTTTAAAGAAAAGAGTTTCAATTAGAATGTAGTTGTTTTTCTCTTCAGCTTCAAAGAATTTTCTTAAGATATATTTAATGAGATTTGCTAATTCCTGATAAATTATAACAGGAAAAAAACATAACAAAAACCTGATAAATCAATTTGATTGTAGCATGAATGACTGATAATGTTGTGCTAATGAGGTATGGCAACTTGGACCGATGCATATATGTGCTTAATCCTAAGTTGTAGATGACTGATAAAGATGACTATACGAGACTTTAATAAACGATACATATTTTTCAACTGTCATCCTAAATAAGTATAACAAGTGTCAACTAAGTCAAAATAATTTTAATGAAAAAATTCTCTCAAAATGATTCATTTAGAAAAATATAAAAAATAAACACTTTCAAAAATAACAATTCTTCTTGATGAACACAGTGCACATCAAAATATTTATGGGTAGGAAAGGTTGAACACAAGTGGCCAGTAGACAAAGAGGCCTAATAAAGTGAAATGGTTGCTTTGAATGCAAGTCTGTCTCTGCACCGTACTGTCCGAAACAGGTACAGTTGAAAACTTAGCATATAGACAAATTAACATTGAAGAATGAAACCTATTTTAGTAGTCTAACATCATAATATCTATCAAAAAATCATCCCATGTGAAAACAGTTAGTCGTTCAATTAAAGACAATGTATGGGAAAGAGGATTTGTTACTTAGCCAGTTACTTGACCAGGTTGTGAACTAGAAAAGCAAACATAAAAATGCAACTGTGGAACCATTATTACTCATCACCTGTACTTTTTGACCAAGGTTGTTTATAATTATTCAAGTCTTTTATTCAAAGTTCAGCAGCTAAAGTGAGGAATGCTATATTAAATAACTGTGTTAACAACTGAATAATCATACGCAATATCGAATAAGGAAATGCTTTATCGTATCGAAGCAGACAGACACCCATAATTAGTAATAAAGTTCAGTAATCAAGAACAAAATAGTATACTATGGTTAGAGAACGCATGAAAACAAGTTTGAACCCTCAACCTAATAGTCGAAATCATGTGTTAAAATCACTGAACCATAGTTCTGCTAAAAAGAGAAATGATACTTTTATGAACCTGTTGGTATTGACTATTTCCGTAACCATTGTAGCAACTGTTAAGCTTGGTTTATAACTTCTTACATTGTTACTAACGTTAATTACATCAATCCATGAAATACAATTTCCCACTTTCTATAAACAAGCTGACAATAACACGGTAGTACTTTCAACCCCCAGGCTCTTATCGAAATTAAATAAAATATTACACCCATAAAACCTCAAGCATTTAATGCTACATGGAGGTGTGTGTTTTCGAGACACACAAACATACCCATATAATTGATCCTCTTAGTTATTCGAAATAAATGTTACCGTAAATGTTGGATAAAACATTGCCTAAAATGATTGTAACAAGTAATATAACAGCGAAAACATATACTGTACAAAAGAGACTTCCACATAAAATTGGTTATTATACTCACTTTAAATTCTGGCGAAGTAGCTAAAGCACGATCGTGTAGAAATTTTTGAAATACTCGAAATAAGCGTAATTGAAAAAAGCAACCAGGTAATCTTTCTCGTACAGCCAACCGATGAATAGTATGTACAATTGCATGATTGACTGATTCAGGATTATTATCATAATTCTCTAAAAGTAAACTAAATAATGTAGATAGTATTCATTAATTGGCTACACAAACGGATTATAATAACTATTTAAGAATATTAAAACACTCACGTCCATTAAACACTGAAAATAATTATAACAAACACCTTTTTGGACTATCAAAAACAATTTTTCTCTTTTTCCTTTCAGTGACACTAGCTTGAGCTTAAATACACATAAATACGACAATCAGATACCTGTAGCATGAGTTTGTACAGATCTGTCCATCTACGTACAGTATTAGCAAGAATTTTAATTATGATTCATTGTATGTAAAACTCTTTGAATTCTAAAGCTCAACATCATCATCATTCTAATCAGCCTTACTTGAATATCATATCATAACGAAATGATTGATAAACTCACTACAAAGTGTACATCAATGCTGGATGTAATTAAAAGATCACAAAAAACGTCTTTGTTTTACAATTCGACATCAGGACACTTAAGTAATACAAACTGCTTATTTTATTACATGACTGAAACGTCCAACAGTTATTTGTTCTACATATTGATATTTATTACTATATCTCATTGACGATTCTATTTTCAATGTGTCTGGTAACAAGAAAAAAAATTAGTTCACAGTCTCTAGTATTCTGTTCCTCATTCAGTAATGAATCTCAAGTATTTTTATTAAATTCGAAGTGTAAAACAGTATAAAGCAGTAATGCGAGCGATAGACAAATTATATTTGATAGTTCTATAGGTAATATATTATTCAAACTTTGATTTGGATTAAATAAACAATAAATTATAACTTGTTAGTAACAAATATGATTCTATTTGTTAATTTTTAGGTACGAGAATGAAGCAAATTACGTGATATCCCACTTAAAACAAATATTTTTATATAGCTGATGATATTTTCTGTAATTCAAGGAAATGGTGAAAACTTACGTGTAAGCATGTACAACACGTGGATGAACAAATTTGAGCATAAAAGCACTAAAGTCTAGAACTACTTCTTTTTCAGTAGTAACTATTTCTTCATCATTTGAATCACTTATGCCAAGTTCTTCGTTGTAAAGGTTATCACTATCACTACTATTCGATGAAGAATTATTCAGTACCTCCTGTTCTTCTTCTTCCTCTTAAATGTATGAAGGAAATAAACGGGTTAATTTTGAATAAAAATCAAACACAGAACTAACATATTATTTATAGCAGATTAATTTTGGTATAATAGATCATCAGAAAAAAATAACTACATTGATAAAGTGGTAATATTGTGAAAACAGTAAGAGAGAAGCAAGGTGTTCCATGAATAAACAGACTAGAAAGGTACAACTCATTTAGTAATACTATCAAGAAACACATTTTTAGTTAAGTGAGTTTATCCCATTTGAGTAAAGAAAAACTAAGACAAGATCTCCACCCGCTTTTATCCTACACCATATCTGATAACGGTCCCAAGTCATGAAGTTGCAGAGTTCCTAGTACCTTAACCAGATAGTCGTAATGGATCGATAGATTGTAATCCAACACAAATATCCTTCATACCATGGAGCCGTGTTGCACACCGAACACCTGTCTGTTTTTACGACCAAGTCCAAGTATGGGGAAATTATGTGTGATGTGCGAGATGCTCCAAAAGCATTCATTAAACACGATCAGGAAGTTGAAGTCAAGGTTTCAAGAACGTGACACTAATCAGAACATTGTCACTAAACCGGAATACAATTACTGGACCTCGGAGGATTACCAAAAGTTGCTGCTACTGGGCATGACAAAGTTACGGAAGCAACTATGATCGACAACTGAGTGAAAATAACGAATTGGCCTTTCACCATTTCATTGGTTTGGAGTACGCAAATTAAAAGCTTCAGTTTACTGGACATGATTATTTGGTACGGGGTTCTTGATAAAGCAACAATGTTATTAACATTATTTTTCAGTTCCTTTTCAATGTAAAACGCTATTTCAAAGATGGTTTGTGTCAATGCTTATTTTCACAATGTACAATAAAGCACCTGACTGTTAATCTGTTTGAAGTTTTGTATGTCCTGAAGAGTTTAAAACTCACGGAATCTTAGTCTCTGTTGACTTATGACACCTGCAGGACAAGTAAAATCCTTCGTTTCCTCAACAAAACGATAAGAGAACTGTAAAATGAGAATTTTGAGGGGTGAAAACACGCATTCAATGCATGGTCGTGTATGGTAAATCCACAGAGGTTATACAATCTTGATAGAAGACTTGAAGTTTTAGGTAAAAATGATAAATAAGCCGATTAAAATGTGAGTTTATACTAAATGATGTGGCCGATAAGTGCTGTAAGTGTATAACCATTACTTTTTCTGGGTTGCTGTTCATGTTAGCATAGATATAGTTTTGGAAAACAAAAGGAACGACCAGACAAAGCTACGATATCAGTTCATATAAAAAAACCGACCGCAGTTGTGCAGAATGTTCTTTATTTTCCAGTAAATTCTGAACACAGTATTACTGCATACTTATATTCGTCTTAGCTTTATATTCTATTACTGTTTGCACTATTAGTCTCGATTTTCCTACGTCTACCGTCGATTTTCACTCTGTAAAGATATGATATATAGGAACTTGAATAAACAAACGACTGTGTCACCTTGTGCATATTTATATAAAATATGCGACAAACTGTATATGGTCGAATATTTTATAATAAGTTGGTTACATTGTTCTAATCCTAACAAAAACATATCATTAAGGTACTTTGGTTGAAATTCAATGAACTATAGAAACAACAGAGTGAGAATAATAATATCACAAGAATTAAAAGAACTAACCTAGTTCAGTCATATGAATTTGCTGTAAAGCCCCTAATACATTCAAGCATTCAGGCCGTAATCCTGCAGCACGCCCAGCATCAATCGTTGAATTATCTTCCTCAATTGAAACTGGAGCAACTTCTGGCCAAAGACGCCACATTCTCTTGGCCATTGATAGAGCAGTTTTAGCTGAGCCTGCAAATAAAGCAGCTTGAACTCGACGAATGGCCGATTTCAACTGCTGATCTTCACTGTTTCCTGTAGTTGCATCGAAGAGTCTTGTATCATTCATTTCATCATCACTTTCATCCTGTTCATTCTCTTGATATGCTGTTCCAAGTAAAATCTCTATTAAGGGACGTTCTAACTGATTAGACCATTGTTGTTCGAGACGGCTAATTCTCACAGCTTCAGGTTCCAGATTTAGAATATCTCTTTTATGAGTTTTCTTTTTAGGTTTAGAGGAACGCTTTTTCCTTCGGTGAACTCTCCGACGTTTCACAATAATTTTTTTATTGCTACCGCAGATCTTGTTGGAAAGTAAAGTTATAAATAAGTGAGAACCTTCAACCAAATCACGCAAATAGTCTCTAGAAGAGAAGAAATCATGATATTTTAATAGAAATTAGCTTATCGCGAAACTTATAACAACACAGTATACTGATTGACAAGAGACTAAAATAATAGATTGATCGTTCATTATTTCATTGGTTTGGAGCACGCAAGTTATAAATTCCAGTTTACTGGATATGTTTATCCAATACAGGGTTCATGATAAAGCAGTAATTTTCTTGATATTATATATATATATATATATATATATATATATATATATATATATATATATATATATATATATATATATATATAACCATTTTCTCGATGGTTGCTTTCAGTTTGTCTTAAGATTCACATCTAAATGGTATAGAAATATAAACACTTCACTTTAGAGCAGAAATAAAGGTTTTGGGGTTGACTGACTTTTGCATCTGTTTAAAAGCTTTGGTGAGTAACCGTTTGATATCAATGTATCAGTCAGCAGTTTTGCATTTTTTTCAACAGTATTTGTTGTACATATTCTTTGAGTCCTGTTAAAGAGGCACTTTATCAAGCCTCGCTTGTGTTTTAATGGGCAGAAACAGTGGAAATTTAAATACTGACCAGTCTAGGGTGGCTTCCTATAAACGAACCGCCTTATAGCTCCATTCTTCCTTGGACTCAAAAGTTTGACTAAAAACAACAAGTGATTATTACTTTCATCTTCATAGGTTATTACGATATCATCCTGTACCCTATTGAGTTTATTTAATAACTGAGTAACAGAAATTTTTATTATATATGATTAATATATCATCTACGTATCCCCTATACAGAGTTAACTCATCACATTTTTAACATATGACACAAATACATTAGCTAAGAGAGATCCCAAAGGGTTAGCCAGAGCAACATCACCAGCTAGCAGATGTTCACTTTCAAGCGTGAATTGCACTTTTGCAGTTCACAATAAAAGTAGTTCTTTTAAAAGTGTTGACCGAATAGGAAAAAAGGAGGGAATTACTCGATATATAGCCACAAAGGAAACCAAGTCTTGGTTAAAGGTACATTCATAAGAAAGAGGATTTACATCAAAATGATGCATACTCTTTTCTTTAGGATTAATCTCATCACGAAGATCAGTTAGTTAAAATGTATCTTTTAAAAAAAAACTTAAATAATTTATCACGGACTGGATTTGACAATTTAGCTAACCATTTTGCTAGTTTATGTGCAAGTACATCACATATAGATAATATTAGTTTACGAATTCTAAGTAATTCATATAAATTCGGAAGTACAGAACCGGTAGGTTTTAGCACATTAAATTCCTTTGTTTATAAAGTTTATTTTAAGGAGCTTCATTAGGTTGGAATTTACTCTGGATTCCAATTTTCTAACATTAATATTGGATGGAACGTCCGCCAGGAACTTTCATCAATAAATATAGATAACATTTTCACCTTATAGTTGCATTTATTTACAACAACCAGCCAAGGACCTTTTTCAGGTTTCAGGATCATGATATCTGGTCTACTTCGGAGGTTTTTTACATCATGAAAATACTTAAAAGTCAAGATATTCCTGTGTCTGATTTGAAAACAATGAAAATGGTCGGGACTATACATAGAGACTACCTAAAATTCATAAACGTTATAATACATTACAACCGCTATTATCCATGTGTGGTTCACTTACACATGAACTAGCATAATGGTTAGCTAAATTGTCAAATCCAATCCGTAGTAAATTGTGTAATTTAAGGAACATGTGCCTAGATGGCTTCAAAATCAGTTCGTGTCAAATGTTCTAATAAACGTGGGAAGTAGGAAACCATGTTCATTTGTGGCAAAACACATAATTAAAACGGGACATAGTATTAACATAAACACAGCTTTTAAAACGTCGTATAGAAATTGTTAGGGACGGATTCTTAGGTTTATAAAACTCTTGGCTGCTCGTAAATTAAAACTTCCATTATATGTACAGAAACAATTTGTCGTAACCTGGTAATCCTTATGTCATTTTATGACCTAGGGTAATGCGACAATTCCTCATTCTTTCCATACGATGTTATTTTCTCTCTCATTTATTTATAATTATCACATTATTTAAATGAACTTTCATTATTTTTATATAAAATGCCTTGACAAGTATGTGTGATCAGATTGTCCGAAATATATAGCGCAAATATATTACATTTTTCAGATCCATTCCGTCTTCTTATTGATCTATAAAAACTTAGGAAAGGGATTGATTGCTTTGCAAAAATAACTTCAGTTTGTTTTTAATCCAGTATTACTAATTAGACTGAATTTAACACTATATATGCAGCCACAAATATTCTACTCAACACGTATATATAACTTTATATACCAGATTACTGATATTACTCAGTTGAGTGAAATCTGATACGTGGATCCAAGGTAACCTGTGATAAATAAAACTAGTCAGTCCATTCTACTAAATTTAATATATGGTTACTAAACGGATCCCAAAATGACTTTGGAGATATTATCGTAATCAAGATAAAATGGATTGAACATACTTGGACATGAATATTTCATTGTAGTCCCTCAAAAGATTTGGGAATAGTTCTTGATATTCAGCAACGTAAAATACATTGGCTGTAAATAAAAGCGAAAACTATGTGGTTAAAAGTAAATATGATCATAAAGTGGTCAATCATAAATAGCATAGGACCAGGCACGAATACTAATATACTATATTCATTAGCAGGCTACAATCTGACTATTGAATGCTTTGATGGGTTACAAAACTGCAAGCAATGATTGGCTTGTTACGGACTAATCAGCGCCAATAGAGGAAACGAGATGTAAATTTAATATAAAACTCTAAAGTTTTTAATATCATATCTTTGTTGATCGGGTTTATTGAACATATATTATTCCTTCTCAGTTCTTGTTCCGATTTAGGAAAAACTATTGAAGTATGGTGTCCAAGGAATACTAGGGACTAGAACGTAAAAGCATTACATGCAAAAAAGAAACCGTGACTAGTGGAGTGTAAGACAATCACCAACAGAAGACAATGGAAGATGGTCACGCAACATCGTGGATTGATTGAAGTTAGACATTAACACTGTTGGATACCAGTTTAGTGGTCCAGAGGTTAGGCGTTCGCATGCGAGACCGAAAGTCCTGGGTTTGAATCCAGCGTGCGAGGTCATGGATACGCAATGCTCAGGAGTTCCATACTAGAACAAGACGGTCATCCAGTGTTTCCAGGTTTTCAATCGTGATCTAATATTTGTCGATTTATGATCTCAACAAAAGCTCAAAAATCTCCACAACCCTATACTGAAAAATAAACATGATTAGACTGGGAATTAAGCGTGAAATATAAGCAAAATGCAGTAGGTTCCATCAAAAATTTTATTAACTATTGATTTGTAGTTTTAGACTAGTTAGGAAACAGAAACAAATTTTAAATAAGGTAATGTTTAGTAACAAATGACCGAATTGAAGCAATGTTTAATACATTATTTTTATCTAATCGGAGCATCACATCTTTATTTTTTTGTCCACTGAAGTAGCATTTAGTAAGAAGCATGAGAAAATAAACCGTAATTAATGGTCGGGTCAAATTTTTAAGCACCAACTGAAAATCAAGTAAATAACATGGATCCAAATTTATTAGGACCAACAAACAATTCCGGTCAAGTATTTCATTATGAAAACAATATTACCAAATGCCAACGGGAAGTTTGTGAAAGTTGGAGGAGTCAACTAACAACCTATTACAAATATTTTGAGTACTAGACTTTTTTAATAGAAAGTCTATACTTGACTTTGGATGATTTTTCAATCCAAACCAATTGTCAGGAAAACGCTGACAAGGAAACACATCTATAGGTCGTATTCCTTGCTACTAATGACATTGAAAAAAGTTAATTAGACAAAAATGTCTACCCCAATAAATTTTACCCTCTCATTCAACGACAATAGAAACTATGTCTTCTTTATACAATGGAAAATTCATCATCATTTCCCAACTTCGCATTTAAGAGGCAGTTCAACAATAAGTATAGCTTCTAAAATTGTGCACATTTAGTCAATTAACAATTCATATGGGGAAAGAGTTGAAAAAATTACAAGACTTTCTTTGTTTTATTTTTTAATACACAACAATCGATTCTAAATCCCTTATAACACCTTTTTGTTTTTATTTCACTAATTTATATTTTCTCGAATCGTATCTTCGATGCCTAATCGTTTCCATTATCAATGATACTGTTACTTCCTCTATTACTCTGGGATTTGGCTTAACAATTTCATTTCTATGTGCTAAGAGGGTATGGCGACTTGAACCGATGTACATACGTACCAGGTTTTAAGTTGTGACTAAAACAACAATCGATACCTATCATTATGCCGGTTCCACTGTTTTGAAGTCAGTCATACACATAGAATAATAAAGGTGCATGAAGCGAATTTCAAAAGAGAGGTATGGAAAAACACCCTAAATTCTGCACATTTGACTTCCATTAATCTCACATATAGGCTTTTTTAATCTTTAATTACCAAATGATAACTTGAGCCACTACATATTGTTAGCCAGTTTTCAGCTGATTGAATGAACTAATACTGAATTCGCTAGGATATATAAATCATATAAAAAATAATCTTAAAAAGCAGTGACTGAGATGCGACTTAAACTGGATTATGGATTGATGAGATTGTGTCGCGAATCTAATCGCTGGTAAACTAAAGAAGTACCACCATGAAGGTTCGTATATCTCTTTCCTCTTCTGTCCCTTGGACAAACGAGAGACGATTACTATAAAATTCATATACGACTGGTAGTAAGCACTTGAGGATGAATGTATAGGCCAGTTAGTCACTGTTTAACTGTTAGAAAGTTAAATGTTGATAACGCAGAAATGTTGTAGGAATACTGCATATTTCGTGATGGGATCTTATTACATTCAAACGTATAGTATTCACCGAGGCAATTCTTGCTATTATTAAATCATAAAATGATACGGGACAGTAATAAATATCGATCAACTCATTAGATAAATGTAGCATGATTCATTATGTACCAATAATCGACTCAGCAACATTAGCTTGTGAACGTAATCGTTCTTCAACACCATCTTGTGTTTCATCGTCACCTGGTTGAACAGTCTTATCTGCTCCAGTTACATGAAGCATACGATTTAGGCAAGTGAGAAATTCTTTATAACAGGCTACAGCAAGTTCTAAACGTCGAGCTGCTTGGATTGCACGTTGATTTGAAGCGCCACCACGTTTATCGGTTACTAAATGTTCTTTATAATTTATTACTTGATCATATATCCAATGAAAAATTGGCACACTGAGAGTTTCACTAGGGAAACAACAACAGTATTTATTAACAGAAAAAAAGTGTAAGCAACGAGAAAGTTATTTCAATTAACTGTTGATACTTATTGAAATACAACGCGTTATACGAAAAGAAAAAACACACTAAAGAATGGAACATAGAAATAGGAAGTGATTAAATACTTTACTCATGAACAAAATACAAAACAATACAAGAATTACTTAAATATTGACAAGATATTATATCTGTAATAAGTAAAATAAGAAAATATTAGCAAACAATTAATTCAGAATACTTATGGGGTTTATCAGTTGATAACTTGTAGGGTCAGATGATTATAATCAGTTTGAAGATATCTGAATTGGTTATAACCTAACGATAAGTATTGAACATGGGTAACATGCTTTAATGATCCAACCAGTATACGACTACATGTGTTACTATTCGTTGTCGGATGTTTTGAGAAGTCATGAGTAATACTGAATTTGGAGACAACACTAGTGAATCCCTTTGTACAATGAGGTTCGGTAATAATAATGACCACACCTCAAACTTGGCTAATATGACTTCATTAGAACTAGGAACGTAACACTGACCATTATTTAGTTATCGACTAGTGTTGGTCTTTTTCCTATCTGAAAACAATCTAGTTTTATGAGTAACAAACTGATGTGTCGCTAAAATAATCACAAGTCAAAATATAATCAGCTACAGAACATTACTAAAACATTTAATTTCTTAAAATTATTTAGATTATCTAGTGAATTATTAACATTTCAACAAGTTGTAAAACAATATATACCTTATATAGTCTGAGCGAAATCGATAAACTCGACAAAATGCCATAAAGAATCGCATTGTCCAAAGGAAATAAGTTTCATCATTCTCCTGGCTAGCTTGACGAGTTAAACCTGACTGTACAACACGCATGATTGGATTATAGCAGAACTTTAAAAATTGCCAACAGAAACCCTAAATTTTTTGTAAATTATATAAAAATTAAAACTGCCAAATTATAAGATAGAAATTATTATGATCGATTTACAATACAATGTCAGGATATTGGCAAATGGAGTAACACTCAAAATGGTTACTTTTTGATTGGAAGTGGGTTTCTTGAAGTAATGAACAATTTTACAGATCAATAACCTACTGTAGTACAAGTTTTAAAAGTGCTGTGACAAATAAAACATGTTTTTCATTGTTGAAGCAGTAATAATGGAGCGCATTTATTCTATCATGATCAGGTTACGCAAGTAGGTACATAAACAATGAGCCTTAATTTAATCTGTTCGAGAAACTATAAACTGGCTACGTTATTTCAGTCTAAGTGGAAGTTGCTAGTTTTTGTGGATGATTACCAACAGTACAAGTAAAACAGGGGAGTAAGAACCAGAGTTTGAACATATTTCTACACTACAAACAACACAACACAGCAAACGTTGTCAGCGAACAAATGAACAATAATCAGTGACACCTCTGGCTGACGGAAAATATAAAGCAGAAATTTATGAATAGAGCGAAAAAGATATATTGAAAGTAAACATTGATTTGAGTTTATTACTTGTAAACATAAATAATATGATCGAATAACGTATTGTAAAATCAATACCTGCAGATATAACTGGACAGCCAAAATTGAACGCCGGTGTATTGGTCGGTCAACTAAAGGTTTACGATGTTTAGGCTTACGGAACTTTCGCTTTCCTACATCTAATTCAACGATGCCGACATTATCCACCACATCTACAGAACTGTCCAACTGTTTCGAAATGACAGTTGCCATTTGAGCTTTATGGGTAATATCATGATGGTAAATCAGTGGACGTTCGCTCAAAGATGGTGTATTTACCAATTCAAAAGCACCACCAAATCGTGCTTGCCTATATAGATAAAATAAAATTGTAGAGTCATCATAACTACGTATATATTTCAAAATAAAACAAACCAATCTATGATTATTTATACTGTAAAATCTTTCCAAAATTAACACTATCTACAGAAAGTTATCACCTTATTTAGTTCGTTTATGGACATTTTATTTTCACGTTAAGTGTCTAACAGTTGATTTAGTTGACCATTTTAGTGGTGATATTTCTACAGTTAAATATCAAAGAACGCTACGTAAATGTCATGATTAACAGTTATGTTTTATTGCTGACCAACATATAATGTTTTGTAACGGTGGTTTAGTGGTTGAGGAGATTGACTCTCACCCACTCAGTCTCTTGTTCAAACCCCGCCTCACCTACTTTGGTTTGGGCGCCTGAGTAGTATCATTAGCCCTCATACTGAAAGTGTAGTTTATACCCAAGTACCTAGAGAATGAGTTAGTTTAATTTTGTTTCATTGTCAGGTCTTGTAATATTCTTTGCATTTGTATTGAGACTTAATGGCCTTTGTTTGGTAATAAAATGAATTATTTAGTATGTTGAGTCATTTGAAGATAGTAGTAGTTTACACTAAATGAATGTATGAAATTACAGTTGATTTCATAGAGAGCATTGTTTGGTAACTATAATTATTTTTAAAAATGGAGTAGTGACTTGTTTACGACATGGTTCGAAAAAATAAAGATTCATGTATCGTAATAAAAATGATCGTCACAAGAAAAATCTTATCTTTTGAAGTGTTGTTTGAGAAACATAAATACTTGAATGTTAATCGCTAAGTTGCTTCAAACCAAGCTCATTTGATATGGTTTGGATACCGAAAACTTCTAGACTTCATATAAAAGATCTAGCTTAATATCTGATAAAAAAAAACCTGTATGTGGTTTCTGAACTGTTCTATGACTGATTTAGTCTTTGATTGTATGTTATTATCTTATTCAATAAAGATAATGAACAATATAAACAAAATTTAGTGAGTTTTATAACGAAAGACTAAATACAATACCAAACATCACGAAACAGAAAAGTCACAGTGCCGTTGTTTATCACTTGAAATAAATCTACATCAATAACATCAAATCACTCACCTTAGGTTACAGGCGTAAAGAAAATTCTTTCGTTCCATATCATCTCGAATTTTCAATCTTTCAATAAGTCTACATCATTGTTTTCTATTAAAAATAACTGAAACATACTTTCTCCGAGTGTTTAACTCAGATTTAGTTTCTGCTCTGTTTCCAGCACAGGCAAGTAGCTCGGGTGTCTATGGAAATGAAGAGCAATATTTGGATGAATTATCTGATTCTTGAATCAAAATAAATTGCATACAAACGGTAACTATACTTACAAGCTACAAAAAAAGATTACGCATAGAAAGACCGTGAATACAGGACAAAGATGAAGCTAGTTAGCACCTTGAACAAGAAAATGAGAAGTAATAGTACTAGATTTCATTTCTGAATTGGTCAAACATTTATTTAAAAAATCATAACATTTCCCCGTTATAATACTTGAGCAAAATTTAAAGAATAAAATATTTGATGATGTAGACATCCACAAATTTCTTGTTAGATCTTCCTTTAGAAGCTATGGAATAATAACTTGGACGTTTGATAATAAAAGGAAAAGGTGACAAGTTCTAATAAATATTGGCCTTTTTAAAATTCGGTTGATATGATGCAACACTTTTTATACAGGTTTCCATATCTAGTCAACAATAAAATATTCATTTATTCATCAATTAACAAAACCTTCATCCAGAAATAGGCAAAAAACTGTTGTATTGAGGATTTTCTTTGTGGACACTTGATTAAAGTTTATCCTGAGAGGTTTTATCGTCCATAGTACATATTAGAATCATATGGATACAAACATAATTTCTTTTTAAAAAAAGAAAAGCTTTTTCTGTGACTGATATTGAGTTGCCAGATAGAGTAAAACTAACCTGTTCCCTTAACATCAGTGATATGATTTCAAGAGTATGAAAAGCGAACATTTGTTCATCATCTGAATTTGCAAGAAACAAAAGTAGTTCATCCCACCCAGATAAATGCATTGCCCATAAAATCTGGTCATGTACAGAAACATCCTCGTCCGTACGCTGAAGCAAATTTGTCTTAACATGACAAAGTCAATTACCTGTTCGCCAACAACATCAGGAGCAATATGAAGTACATTACGTATTAAAATCAAAATACGCTCAATGAGAAGACGATCTTCTTCACTCCTTTCCTCCCAGCTCTAAAAATAATATAAAAGGTATGAAGTAAGTAGTTAATGAGTATTAAACTGAATAAAGAGGTAGTCATATATTAGACACAAAATTATAAATCGTTTATTACAAGTTCACTTGAATCTCTTATAGTTTCCCAATAATCAACACATACGTTAAAGATAAAGATGACCAAATGTTTAAAACATGTGCACGTTCTAAGTCTTGAAGATCAATGCTTACATCCGTAAAAATAATAGGAAGCGAATTATCGCGGAACATGATCAAGTGTTTATCTATTCTGATGAACTCATTTGGTCAGTCATCATATGAAAAGAAGATACGTTTGTGTGTTTAACCACAAGTAAAGCAAATCACAAAGGTCTTTGAATTTGTTTATGAGGAATGAGCAATTTATTTGATAGCTATTTAGTCTAACGCAGCATAGAACCTGACACGTATGTACATCGGTTCCAGTTACCATACCCCATTAGGACAGCGGGATGAAATTGTCAAGGCAAATCCCAGAGTAGCGAAGGTGGTAACAGAAGACACTAAGCATCGAAAGTAAGATCTAAAAAACATAAATTAGTTAAATAGAAACATTATAAGGAATTTAGAAACTTGGAGTCTAGGGGAAGACTAAGTATGGACGCATTTACGCTATAACAAAATATTCTGAGCCACATCACCCACTGGTTCAGACAATCACGCGGACCCCAACCAGGTAGTCTACATCTGTGCATTTCACATACAATTTACTCATTTTCTTATGGTATCCGTTTTAAAACCAAACTCACATATAAAAGACTATAATTCTATAACGTATCTAACAGGATTACGAGGTTGATTATATCATTGTACGAGATGGGTGGAACAAGGCTCGAACTTCCCACTAATGACTGAGAATCGATTTATTAAACCACTGAGCTCCCGAATAGTAATAAAAATAATCAATTCATGCAATACGACCAGTGCAACCGTGTAAACTGGTTTAGGGAGGTTAACATTTTTTGTTCCGTGATCTCTCTCTCTCTCTCTCTCTCTCTCTCTCTCTATATATATATATATATATATATATATATATAAAGAACCCGAAATATTTCAATTATTGGTGAAAATTAAGTTAATTGAAAAGTTTGGGTATGAATAGTAACTAACAAACACAAAGTGCAACTTACTCTATCTAACAAACTGCCTACCACATTACACAGGACCCGAAACAATTCTTCATCTGCAAAGTCCTAAGGTTTTATCCATGTACATTTAATACTACCCACTTTTTTGTATGACTTTAGTAAATCATCAACTTGAAGATAAGCACTGTAAAGATCACGATCCTTTGGTATCTCTTGACGAAAACATACAATTGCAGGTTGAGTCAAATTCATAAGAAGACGAATGACCAGTTCAAATAATATTTTATTGCCGCTACAACAACGGAGAAGCGGAATGAGATCACTGGAAACAATGCGGAGTTGACCAAGTTCCCGTCGTATATCACATTCAGCAGTTTCATTTCGTAAGTAACGCAATAAAGTGCGAATGGAAACTATAAGTGAATTCAATATCTTTCATAAATACCTTCTGCATCAGTATCTATCTTGTATGTATCGCCCTCACGAAATCCAAGACAAGAGCAACAGGCTTGAATATCCGCATAACGAAGAGTAGGATCAGCCAACATTACATAAAATCAAAAGCCAACCAAATCTAACAAAGTGGGGTTAGTGTTCGTCTTGTGATATAAAATATGGATTGACCATAAATACACTGATATTAAACTACACCAATACCTGTGACCAACTTAACCACGAAAGCCTGAAACAAAGTAGCTAACCTGAAACGAGAGTTTTCAAAATAAACCAGCTTGATACATTAAGTAAGTGTAGGATCAGTGAGAGTATCAGCAACATGCAATTATAACCAAAGTGTATTTGAAAAGCTTTTTAAGTGCAAGCCGAACAATGACAAATATAATGGGAAGAGATAAGATGATTTGCAGTTCATAGGAGTTTGTGAGGTAACTAGAGAATAGCTTGAAAAACCTATCAGTAATTAACACTATGAGGATAGACAAACAAACGAATACTGCTACTTTTCTTCGGAATAAACTAAGAACCTCATTACCGGATCCTTTCGGAGAAGCAGCACGGTTTCAGAATAAGTTACTCTTGTCTCACTAACTTACTAGTGGCTCGTGAAAGCTGGTGCGCTCTTAAGGACCAAAAGTTCCCTGTAGACGTAGCCTTCGTTGATTTCAGCAAAGCTTTTGACAAGGTTCCGCACAACCGGATGTTATATAAGTTAAGAAATGTCGGGATTGGAGGCAATCTATTTATGTGGATAAAAGACTTCTTAGTTGGGCGTCAACAAAGAGTAAGGGTGAACTCAAAGTTATCTAGCTGGGAAACCGTGCTTAATGGAGTGCCCCAGGGTACAGTTTTGGGGCCAGTGCTATTCCTCTTGTATGTAAATGACCTTCCTCGTCTTCTATCATAATCGGTCTTGCTATATGCTGAGGATGTCAAGATATGGAGAACGATACGATGTGAAAGTGATAGCTTAGAACTCCGAAATGACCTGAAGAAATTATCTGAATGGTCTCAAACCTGGCAGTTGCCGATAAATACTTCCAAGTGTGTTGTGATGCATATCGGTCATCAAGGTACAGATACATACACGATGAATAACACTGAGCTACCTGTCGTCCAGACATATAATGACTTAGGAGTCATCGTTAGCCAAGACTTAAAGACTACTGCACACTGCCGTGCAATAGCCGCCAAATGTTTTAGAACGTTATGGTCAATACGTGTGGCTTTTAGTCATGTCGACGCTAAGACGTTTTTGACTTTGTATACAGTGTTCGTACGTCCTAAACTTGAGTGCTGCATACAAGCGGACAGCCCCTGCTTAAAAAAAGACAGTGAGCTTCTGGAAAAGGTTCAGAGAACGGCAACTAAGCTGATTCCCGGAATAGCGAAGCTTCCGTATGAAGCTCGACTGGTCAAGCTGAACTTTTTCCCGTTGTCTTATCGCAGAACTAGAGGCGACTTGATTACAGTTTTCAAATTGCTTAGCGATAAATTTGCACCTGATATGCCCTCATTTTTCTTGTCTTCCAAAACAGAGAATTTACGGCGGCACTCCAAAAAAGTTCACAAACCAAGAACAAATTACTTGTCAGCTGACTATCGACTTTCCCATCGAATCATCAACGAGTGGAACTCATTACCCCAGCACGTGGTTGAGGCTCCATCCATCGATTCCTTCAAAAGAAAGTTGGATCAACTGAGGGACCACCATTACCAGGACTAACACAGGCCATCAGGCCTTCCCAAACTGAAACTGATTAGGCAAAAACAATTAAGTCCTTAAAACTACACTCATGTGACTACGAAACAGAGATTTCGTTACACATGTATTGAACAACCTGATAAGCCTACCATAAATAAAAGTCACAGCTGATTTCATAAATGAATGGTGTGTATCTTTTGCAGACCTACACAGATAACTGATATTTACAGCAGTGAATGTGTTATGAAGAACACCTTCATAACAGCCAAAACAGGCATATAAATCTGATCTTTGTGACGCGAACCAGCCAGTGAAAAATGAATCAAAGTATAAGTAACCAGAACCATACCTAGAATACAGCTCACTAACCAACAATACATAACCCGGTCATTGAGTGGAAGTACAGTGTGAGACCGGTGAATCGGCAATCATCATATATTCTTTTGTTGATTAGCAATGAATATTATGTTGCAAGAATTAATTTGATTTATTATCTCGTTAGGGCATGAACGTAATCAATAGTTAAATAATGAGAACGGTCTCACAGCCTTCAGATTAAGCAATATATATTAGTTTACATAGAACACCTAATCGAGTGTTTCAAATCGTAGAATAAAAATAAACATGACTTATAAACCAAACAGAAGCAAACCAGAAAAAACATACGAAGTGTGCAATTTTAATTACACCCACACAAGCACAGAAAGTCAACAATCCTCGAAACTGCCGCCTTGAGTTAGTGGTATCAACTACCGATCGATTCCATCACAAAAATATTGGCCAGTGAAGAGCCACCTTGAAGGAATGTTAAATTTTTCAAGGTTGACTAAATGTGTGGCAGAACGGCTTGGTAACATGTAGTTTTAGTTTGAATTACATTTAGTGCTTTGGAGCCGAGCACGATATGTGCCAAATGCCAGCTTAATCTTCGTAACAACAAAGAAATAGGGCAACCTAACTGGCACAATGCTCCTGGTGGTCAAAAGTATAATCCGTCATATAATATATCTCCAGGATCATTCACGTATGTTTGTTCCTCGCTTAACATTCTCAAAGCTAATATGATGAGGTTTGGGTTTACTGTGCATATTTTGGATGAATTTATCGCTGTCTAACTCATATATTACAATATCATTTATTAAAATAGCTTGCATTGATATTATATCGCGGATATCTGCACTGTAAGGAGGACACATCCTTTAGAAGCTAATGATAACTTTAGTTAGCTGTATGGCGGTATTCAATGAAGCTTTGTTGGTTTAATGATAGTTATTAGTCCTATGAAGATTCGTATATGTATTCACATCTGATTCTGTACATCATGATGTTTTATGAGAGAATTCGGTCAAACTTCCAGCAAATATTGTGAAGTTGTTATAAAGTTCTACACAAGCCTGTGAGAAACTATGCTTAAGTAACATTTTATTCAGGTACATAAAGTAATCGTTTTATCTCTAAAAATTTGTACGCGAATATGTCCTCTAAAAATTCCCGAAAAATTTTCCCTGTAAGAATATTTTTCGTAGAAATTTATCTGAAAAGGCCTCTTTTTAAAAACTTCGATGAAGGTCTATTTTTCTTCCAGGATTATCCATCCACATTATATTTTGATAGTATAATAATTACCAAAAACTATGCAACAGTATGAATCTCGTTGTCTTCAACGTAACGAAAAATACTCCTATTAAAGAGATTAGTCAAAATAATCTGACTGTTATTCATAATAAACACTGTTAACCCATTAGTTACACATGAGCAAGTGTAGAAGTAAATGTTAAGGCTTCGGTATTTGATTCTGTGGTACTCTAAAAAGGAAAGCATAAAGATGGTTCAAGTAGTTGTAAAGATAGCCGGACATTTTTAAATTTCATGAAAAGTAATAGCTACAATATACAATGACATGGTGCAATAAAAAACTTACATCTGTATTGTTAACATCGTTACGTTTTTGAAAAAAATGTCTCACATTTATGTGTGGGTAATAGTATATGTATAACATTAAAAATACACTATTATACTCACTATGTTTACTTCTGAAATCTCGTCTGTCTAATCTGTCCATCTAGTCGTGGAAAGATATTTGTTTTGTAGAATGTGAAATCTTTTCAAGATTCCTTTCTCTCAAATTTTGACTGGCTAGTGTGGATGTTAGTGTACGTCAAACTTAGCACTTGTTCCTAGAAGTGTGAATTCCGCCGCATGTTTTTGCTTCATTATGAAGAATACTACATGTTTTTAAGGTTTCCTGGCATAGTTGTTCATTTTAATCGGTCGTTGTTTCATGAGATTCGAGTTTAGATAATCAGCCAAACTGCAATAGGCTAACATATTTGCAAATTATATTTCCATACTGCCGCATATATTAAAATGACAATGATTTGTATAGCTAAGAAACAGTTTAATAGATTGTTGCTAGTATCAAAGTTGATGTTTGGATTTTTAGAGCTCACCAAACGATAAGTGGTTGGATATAGTTCTCTGCATTTATCATAGTCATCTCCAAGGAAATCATGATATGAAACTATAACCTACCTCAATGTTCTGTCATTTTACACTTAGTTAGACACCAGTTGTCATATGGACCATTGTTCAAATTACTTGCTGTTCGTTAAAAATACAGCTGTTCATTCGTGAACTACTTAATACGGACTACCATCAACGTGTTACTTTGATGGAGTTTGACCGACAATCATCCTCACACAAAAATACTATTTCATATTTTTGAATTTTATTTAGACCAGTTCTAGTTTCAAACCAGTTCACTGATACAAAGGATAAAGGCCATTCACTTCAGGTGATGCGTTGGGGTTTAATACCTGCGTTTATTCATGGGGACTCGACTTCCACTTTTCACACATTCAACGCCCGTATCGAATCATTATTAGATAAACGCTCTTACAAGTGTTCATTGCAAGAAGGCAAACGATGTGTAGTTGTGGTTCAAGGGTAAGTCATATCCCATCATGCCTTTCACTAATACTGATTAACTTAAAGTTTAGCTAAAAACGGTAGAACTCTGTAAATACGTATTAATTGGTACAATAGGCTGTAAGATATGCTATCAAGAAGGTTAACTGTGATGTATTCACCCGTAATTTGTTGGATTGTTTGAAACAGTCAAATCGTCAGTTGTCAATTGTCCGAGCCATCTAACCACCCCTCTATTTTGATAGAAGGATACGTCTTTAGAAGGTCAAACCGCATAGTCTGAATTAGTCATCGCTTGTATATCAGTTGCATTTACTCAAGATTTTACTTTACGAATTACTGCCTGCCACGCAATAAGGATGTATATAAAATATAAGCATACCTGTGATTAAATTTATAGAGAACGGACCAACGTATTTTCTGTCATGAGAAATTCAGTTTATGGGTTTTAAAACGAAAAATGATGATCAGAACCAACGATTCCTATTTTGATTGGTTGCTACTAAAGAACTAAACAAAAACTTGGAATTCCGTTAGTTTAATATTTTCACATTAGAACTATTAATCAAATCTAATTAGCTTTTACGTATCAGAAATAAAGTGATTCATATATATATATATATATATATATATATATATATATATATATATATATATATATAGTGAGATAGAAAACCTAATTAGGCAGTTAGTAGGATGAAATACTGCATTCAGACGATAGCTGGTCAGGTACTTTGTAGTTTAGATAGATTTAAGCTATGGCAGTTGAATCTGTCTGTCATACTTGTAAAACAAGAACCCGTTATTTGGAAAGGTATTTAGTCATAGTCATAATCAATCTGCTTTCCGCCATTACTTCGATATATCTCATTCCTTCACGTTTATTTAGTAATTTTTATCTATTTCAATATCACATAATTTCTTCCTCCATTTTCACAACTTCTGTAATCATTTTCCAAAATGTAGCCACACTACTACTTTAATTTGTTTATTTACAAGTCAAGATAATCGTTTATTTACCTCAACTGAAAATAGGAAACTATTCATTGTTAAATTATACTCATTCACCTATTTTTTCGATAAGGAAATATTTAATTGTTATCAAGATACTGGCCCTAAATTACAGACTCCACACTGTCTGGTCATTGTATATGTTCACAACTACCTATTAAGGTGATTAAGCGATTACTCAATTTTTATTGATAATGCTGAAGTCTTATTGGTAAAGGAAACCGCAAGTGCTTTTTCTCCTATTCCGATATTTGGTGTGACTCTTGCCCTTTTTCGGTTGGTTGCTTCTACGTTTAGTTCGCCATGCTTTAGTCACTATAAACTAAATTGTACTCCTTCAATTTGTTCTGCCTGAATACCAAGTTTTTCCCATACTTCCCGTATTAATGGCTAATTTTTGAAGTATTGTGTGCCAGCTACCATTATCGGGTCCGCAATAAAACCTTCTGTATTAGAATGGACCAATCATTCAAATCGCAATTATCGTAAATCAACCGGAAATCATTACGCAGTCATTATTATAAAGATTTAAAACATGGTATATCGGCATAATGCTGTCTAACTTCTAGTTATTACAATCTGTTTCCTTTGGTAATACAACTTCTCGTCTAAAAGTCTTTAACTCGGTTCTGTTCTTACACTAAAATTATGGCTCATCGATTTTCTTATTGTTGTGTTAACTAAGCATTTCAATCATCTGCCTGTCTAAAGCATCACCTGGATTACGTGGAGATGAAAAGTAAGTTTTAAGGAAACCGCCCCCAAATGCCCTGGTACGACAGAGAGTGGGGAGAGTTCGCTCTCCCTCTCGAAATGCTCTCACACGGCCACGCGTATATAGCTTCTGCCAGGGAAGTCCTACTCACTGCCTTCTCGTGGCAGGGGTGTTGTTCACGAAAATGGGAGGACGAAGAGCGAGTGTCTGGCGCTTTAACCGGATTCCAAACCAATGGTGTACATGGGCTCCAGTATCCTGCGGGAACAAGTGGCGTATGAACCAACCGTTGGTCACCAGCTACCATGGGACTGCATCTCTTTACGATGCTCCACTGCCTTGTGGATCAGACCTGGTCGAAGGCTCGGGGTGTGGCCCTCTAATAAAACCACCTGTTTCGGTCTGGGCACCCGGGCAGTAATACAGCCCTCACACACATCGAATGAGATTTGTGTGGCGCATATGTATTTGGTGCCTCCTTGTACCAATATCTATGTGTTAAAATAAATAATTTAAGGAAACAAGTAAATATCTAGTGATAAACCATAAAATTTACAACAATTTGTGACATCATCTAAGGCTTTTTTGACCCCCATTTCAGAGATTATGAATTTATATTGTATACCTTTCATGAACAATATAGACTAAAACTACTTATAGCTAGTTCTGTTAACCAGAAGTCACTTATTTTCTTTTTCATATTTTAGAAAGGTTTTATTCATAATTTTATTATTTGTAAATAAAATGTGCTAATGTTATAATAGTTTGTTTTAATCACTTACTTACCTCTATCCTATCTAAATTCAACTCTTATTACATAGAACTATTAATTCTTTTCAGATTTTATGAATGGAAAGTTGGAATCAAGAAAAAACAACCATTTTATTTTTGTCCTTCAGGTAATCATACTAATATTTTTTAGATCTCTACTTATGCTTGAAGATCCTGGCAAATTGCTTATGATGGCAGGTTTGTTTGCTCATAATTATGAGAAACAGGTAATTGCTCGATGTGTTAAACTTGTTTGTGTAGATGTATTCATATACCATAATAACCACAAGTTCAAAGGGCATCATGGCAGATGTGCATTCAAGAATGCCTGTATGTTTCATACTACATCATAATCCTGTAATTTTATTCTGATTAAAGATCATTTTAGATAACGATGATGATATTTATGAGTGGCTGGATCCCACTGAATCCAATTATAAACAAGTATAGTTCAACAAAATTAGGATTTTTATACATTTTAGTCTTATTTTTTGAAATGGATAAAATAATGACCGTTACTTTCATTCTTTTGTGTATATTGTTGTGTAGTGTGTTAAACTAAAGGATATTTTTTTAAGAACTGAAGTTAACTTTATGAAATCAGTTTTATCCTAAAGATTATTGAAACGATTGCTTTTGCCACTCTTGAGTTTTAATTTGATGTAGGTGGCCAAAATTTAAGAAGAAACACTAAAACTGATAATCGTAAACAGTCATTAAAACAATACTTAAGTAACGTTGTTTGATCTTCGATTATATAACTTTTAGTCGCTACACAAACTACATTCTGAATCCGGTGTTTTTTTAGAACATTTAACTTCAGAAGCTGAAAACATCCTTCTACAACTATCAGTTTAGAATTTCTTTTAAAATAAATTACTTAATCACTCAAAAATTTGTCTAGATAACTAAGCTACCGGTAGTAAAAAGAGGGCGGTATTAGGAATTGAAAAACAGAAACCTTTTATTGGTCAGTGCTTTACATTGATGTACTCTCAAACCGTCTAATAATCTCAAGTTCGTTGACATATTGTATAGAACTGAGTTTAAATTAGTCAAAAATGTGAAGTGTTCGGCATTCATTTCCATTGAATCTATAAGTCGTATACACGAAGGAAAAGCGATATAAATTTAACTACCACTTTTGAAGTATTTGAACTCAAGAGTTTTCACCACTTGAATATCTTATTCTCATAAGATATACGATGTAACATTTTATTTATTGCAGTGTTATAACTTTCACTAATTGGAACAAAATGTAACATTCTAATCACTGTGTTTAATAAAGCTATTACTGTTACAGTTATCACCCAATAGCTTGGTTGGTGGGTATTTGATTAGTTTGCTCTTATTCTTAAACCTGTCGGCAAGTTTGTTAGTTCCTATCGACTGAAAAAGTGATATTTTCCTTGTAATCAATTCAGTTTATTATTGATTATGATGACAATCAGCTAGAGAATTTTCGAAAACCAAGGGAATCTAAAAAGCTCTTTGATCCTAGTTTAAAACTCTTCAATAATGCGCGCCTACGTTTTTAACTAGTGTGAACAAATTAATCGAATGAATGGATGATTCACTACATTCGTTAAATGTCCTAAATATTTATTAGCAAACTGTAACTCATAAATATCTACACAAAATTTTGTATGATTGCTAGAGATGACGCAGCTACCCAACGATCCTTAGTTATCAGTCTGTCATCGTAATCATTGTTATTATACTTAGTCAATTCATACATAAAAAGCATAGTTGGATTCTGTCTCAATTGAAGTGAGTCAAGAAGTTTATTTCTCTTAAATGGCCTTGTGGGTAGATCTTTGATCACGTAATATCAAATTACTATGATTTCTATACTTTAAATATGAAGATAGAATCATGTTTACGGAAAACAATTCAACTACTAATCATGCTAAAGAACGCATTCTTTCTTATATTTCCCTATTCTATTGCAAAAATCTATTTTGTGATTAGCTTCCACGTAATGAATAAGTAAACTATAATTTCAGGCATATCAATTTCTCACCGATCTTGCAGACAATCTGGACAATGTGTCTGTCATTAAATATCCCGTTACATCTCAGGTCAACAATTCCACGTATAACGAGCCTAACTGTATTAAACCGATTAGTGAAGAAGAAGAACACAAGTGAGTTGAAATATTTTAAAAATATGTATACACCTGAAAGAGTTCCAGTGCTATATTACTATTAACTCACTTCACTATTTTTGAATACTTTGTAATCGATTATTCGTGTTGGGACAAGTAATCTTACTTTTTGTTAGTAGTTAACAGATGACCTATTTTGATGATGTCATCTAAGAATCGTCCAAAATCTATTTATTTTCGCGGTTATGAAGGATTTTACTCGTCTCATGCGGGAAAAAGCATAAAGGTCACTCTCTACAACATAATTTCGTTACAATTTAAGGGTTCTGTATAACGTGCTCCTTCACTGTTGACAGTAATCAGCATTATTGATAATAATTCATGAAGCGTACAGCTAAGCTAAGTTAAAAAAACTGCAATCCAAAATAAGATGTTTTTTACATGATCTATAAGGTTTAGTTCTGAGATCGGACAGAAGTCTGGCACATAGGGCTGTTATCTTTTCAAAATTATACAAACTAGCATACTTGCCTAAATGATCAATTTAAGCATTTCTAAAAATCTGCCATATATATATACGCAAGCATTGTGAAATAAATAGAATTTTTACCAAACACATTTTCGTTGTATTTCACAAAGTCAATAACTTAGTCAGTCAGCTACAACGTAGGACCAGGCACATATATGCATCGGTCCAGGTTGCCATACCTCATTAGCACAGCAAGATGAACACCGGATACATAGGAGTAGTTAATCCAGTGGTGGTAATATATAGGAGAAAGATTGTATATAAGGATATAGTATAGGAAGAAAGAATTAGTTAGTAGAAAGAAAGATATGAAGTAATTTTAATCTCTTAGTTTAAGGGAAGATAAAGAGTATATACACCAACGCCATTGTGATCGATTCTGAGCCATGTTACCAAGAGTCTCCAAACATTGGTTACGAAAGTCACGCAGACCCCAACCAAGTAGTCTGCATCTACCAACATGGCTCAGACTAGAGGTTAGTGTCTTCAAGCACTGATGCCACGTTTTGGTTTGGCCGCCCCTAACTTTCTTCCAACCATCTCTAACACCGGTTAGCATTGCACGTCGTGGTAATCGGTGTTCAGGCATACGTAACACGTGCCCAACCATCTCAGTAGATGAAGATTAACAACCTCATCAACTGATTTACCACCATTCCCTAATAGCCTGCGTCTAACCTCACTATTACTTACCCGATGATCCCAGCAAACGCCAGCAATATTTCTAAGACATCTGTGGTCAAATACTAGTAGCTTACGAGTGTCTTCTACTCTTAAAGGCCATGTTTCGCTGCCGTAAAGTAAAGCAGAATGGACTGCCGCGCAGCATACTCGTCCTTTTATTGATAGACGGATATCTCTCCTTCGCCATAGGTGACGTAAGTTGGCAAAAGCCAAGTGAGCTTTTCGAATCCGTGCTGAGATTTCGTCAGACACCAACCGAATAGGGCTGATCAGACTTCCAAGATAAGTGAAGTTGCCAACGCGTTCGACCACTTCACTCCCTATCCTTAGTTCAGGTGTTGACGCAGGCCAGTCCTGAAGCAACAACTTGCATTTAGAGGGAGAGAAGCGCATTCCAAACATCCTGGCATTCTTTCTCAGTGTTATCAAAAGACTGCATTTTATCAGTATCTTCACCAAACAGGACTATATCATCTGCGTATTCTAAGTCGATAAGTAGACCTCCTGGTGGAAGGAGATCAATACCCGAGAATTCAGTCTACGAGAATGTAATTTTCATCAGTAGGTCTGTGATGAAGTTGAACAAAAATGGGGAAAGTGGACAGTCTTGACGGACACCACTTGAGATTGCAAAAGTAGATGACAGTTCGCCATGAGCCCTGACTCGACTAGTAGTGTTCGAGTAAAAAGCCTTTACAAGGTTTATGTACTTCTGAGGTACGCCTTTCAAAGACAGACACTGCCACTGTCTCGCGTTCTACCGAGTCAAATGCTGCTTTTAAGTCAAGAAAGACCACCATTGTCAGACGCCAAAAAGTATGCCCATGTTCTAGAACCTGACGAATGGTGAATATGTCGTCGATGCAGCCACGACCAGGTTTGAAACCAGCTTGATCCTCCCGTGTTTGCAGTTCACGAGTCTTAGTCAGGCGTCTGATAATTATCGAGGCTAGTATTTTAGATATTATATTAGTTAAACTAATCCCTCTGTGGTTGTCACAGGATGATTTTGACCCTTTCTTATATATTGGGACGATAAGTGATTGCGTCCAGTTAGATGGGATAACGTCTAACTCCCAGATCTTAGCTAAAATATTAGTCAACCTAATCGCTAAAATTGAACCGCCATCCTTAAAGACCTCTGGAGCCAGTCCATCTGGACCAGCTGCCCTTCCTCGCTTCAGAATAACTATAGCCTTTTGAACTTCAGCAAGAGTTGGGGGACCTACTTCAATGTTCCATTCACACTGTCTGGGAATGGAGGGTAGTTGTAGAGTAGCTGACGGCCAGTTGAACTGTTCTCTGAAATGTTCCGCCCATCATTCTAAACGTGTGGACTGGGAGCAGATGAGAGTATCATCTTTTTCCGATATAATCTCACTTACACTTGACTTATTAATTCCAGTTTCTTTTATTAGTCTGTAAAGCTGTCTTGCGTTCCTTATAGTCGCCGCCTTTTCCATCTCTTTTGCTTTCATTGCCCACCACTGCTCACGGTCGTTTCTTAGACTTTTTCTTAACCTAGATCTGATTTGTTGTCGATCTTCATCACTTTCGGAACCTGATGGGACGAGTTTACGAGAATCCATCAGTGTGATAGACTTTGAAGAAATCCATTGGTTCTTTGCAACCCTGTGGTTTAAATCACTGATAGATGTCATTGCTGTTTCCACAGCTGTTTGTATGGCTTTCCAAGCAACATCTGGGTCAGCCTCATTTTCAGAACTACCTAAGTGTGACCTCAGTTGTTCCTGGAACCTACTTTTGGTTTTCTCGTTACTCAACTCAGTTCTAATGGGTCTTTTTACTGTGGCTTTTTTGCGTCCAGTGAGGCGCAAGCAGATGCGTGCCCGTATTAGGGCGTGGTCGGAGTCCAAGCAGGTACTCCAGAATGAGCGACAATCTTGTGCCGACCCTCTCCAACGGTGACTGATGGCAATATAGTGTATTTGAGTCCATCGCTGGTTTGGTGTAGGGGGTCGCCATGTTAGACGATGTCTCTCCTTATGCTTAAAATTTGTGTTTGCTAAAAATAAACGATTGTCTAAGCACAGTTTCAGCAGACGGTCACCATTATCTGTTCGTTGTGCCGGAATACTAAAATACCCACATAAACGCCTTTCTCTTTGGTTTAAACTACCTATCTGTGCATTAAAGTCACCTGCTACGAGTACTATGTCCGAACGTTTAGCTTTCTGAAGAAGTTCAGATAGCTTACTGTAAAATTCATCCTTCACTTCATCTGAGCTGCCGTCGGTGGGAGCGTAGGCAGAAACGACAAAAAGGTAACGTGTGTCCCTATCCTTCCGAGTTCTTACGGAGCCGTTTAGCCGAACAGTACATAAACGACTGTTAACGGGGATCCACTCTAATAGTGCTTGTTCAGTCCTCATGCTTAGTGCTATCCCTACTCCTGCCAGTCCACGAGAGCTAGCCGTCGGGTCGCCAGATACATGGAGGGTGTATCTCGTTGGCTCTCCGTTTTGCCGAGGTGAGGTCAAGTGAATGACCACACTGGGATCCTGTGTGCGTGTTTCGGAGACAGCATACATCAATGATACGAGATTCTAGGGTCCTAGCTAAGGAAGCCTGCTAACCGATTTGACATAGGGTGCGTACGTTGAGGGGTCCAATGTGTAGTTTGGAGCGAGGTTTCAGTAGACAGTGTTTTGAGCACTAGAATCGTTGGCTGTGGTGACACTTGAGGGGGAAGCCGAAAAAGGAAGTTTAGAGGTGAAAGTTGATGTAGGAGGAATAATAGGAAGTAAAGACGGAGGTTGATTATGAATACAGTGGTCTTGAGTGCTGGTAGAGGTATGAGGGCGGTTATCACTTCCCGGTTGCCCACACCGTGGAAGGGTTGTTCTGGAGGTACCTGAAAAGGAAATTGGATTAGTGTTGGTCTTAGTGACCTGGGAGCGTGATCGCGGTGCCCAAGGGACAACTGCTTGAGGCGGGTCGCGAACGGCCTTTTCGTGGGAGGTCTTTGACGTGTTAGCTCCGTTCTTCAAAGGGCCTTACCGCCGGAGACGGAAATCCGTGAGGTAAGGTGGGGTGTGCATTTTTAGGGCCGACCGTTTCTAACCCCACCCCTCCTTGTGGAAAGACAGTATCACTGTCATGCTGGTTGTCTGAAGGAAACACCTTACTGCTGTCACACCTCTGTACAGTCAGCAGTACAACTTCGCCTTCGGACCTTGGGTTTAACTTAGAGCTCTTTTGAAATTGGTCTATGGTTGTAAATAGAAGAAAGGCAGTTGATTCTTCAGTAAGTAAACAGAACTATTATTGTAATATTCAAACTATTGTTATTATTGTTGTTGCAGTCAACATTAATTATTCAATTTTTCAAAAAAGTAATTCCTTTTCTATTTCGTTGAGTTAATTCTGATATTTTTTTTCTATCAGAATTAACCACTGACTACCCCGACGTGCGATATTTTATGGTGTGGGTGTAGGTTGGAACAAAGCTAGGGGCGGCCAGACCAAAACATGGCACAAGTCCATGAAGTCACTGACAGGTGGTCTGAGTCATGTTGGCAGGTGTAGACTACCTGGTTGGGGACCGCGAGATGATAGCAATCGATGGTTAGAGACCCTGAATGACATGGCTCAAAATCGTTTGCAATGGCGCAGGTGCATACACTCTTTGTGTTCTCCCAAATTTTGATCTCCTTATTCCTCCTTGTCTCTTTTTCTTCTCTTCTCAAATTTATTTCACTGCATTATACTCTTTAAGTAACATCTCCAAACACTAATCTTCCCGATTATTGTTTATACTCTTACCTCTACCACTACGGGATTCGAATCGACAATTGTATCTCTGTGCTAATGCAGTATGGCAACTCGAACTGATGCACGTGCGTACGAAGTTCTACGTTGTTACTGACTGACTGATCAGAAATAAAACAAATTGAATTCAGTTTGCTTTTTTCTTTTATTTTCCACTTCTTATTTTACAGGAAAATGACTAAATCTTATGGTAGCTCAAATATAATGATGCAATTTCTTAAGCGTTCAAATAAAGATAGTACCTGTGATCAAGCAAATCCTGGCAACAATTCTAGTTATGATGTTTCACACAAGAATATTGATGCAATGAAAAAGGAGGAAGCAAATCAATAGAATATACATATACAATTATATTTCCTTTATTTTTAATCAAAAGAAATTTTTCATTACTAAGCATTTATTAAATCTCAGATTAAAATTTTGGCACATAATATAATATAAATAATCTTGTTTTCGAAAAGAAAAGTTATTTTAAAAGAAAAAAGCAAATAGATGAATATATTATTAGTCCGATACAGAAGTTATTGTTTCTCTTCATCATTCAGTTCATTTGTTGGAGTTGGTGGATCAGTAAATTGATCGTCATCATCACTACCATTATTATTGTTTACAAGTTCAGTTAGTTCATTGTTTTGCGTCGCCGACATCGCACTGCGAGCATTATATATGTGGCGCTTTAATTGACGACCAATAGTTGAACGTAAATTTGATGGTCCTAAGCGGCTAGTATTATCTCTTACCTAATGACGCAAAAATCAAGAAAGAATTGAAGATAATTGACAATTCTATAATTTGTTGTTGTGTAACTAGTATAAAATTGTTTCAACAGACTTGATTAGTATAGGATAAAAGCTATGAAACTTACAAAAAGAGATCAAGTACACAGTCGAAATAATCGATTGATTATAATTCTGTGAACAGATAGAATGTTTTAAAGCCTAAAAAGAATCGACCTGCGATAAGTAGACCCAAATTTATTGAGGGTCCTGGTGGACTAAATACTAACACATAGGTACTGTAGACAAAAAAGTTACTCTTTGATATGTAATCAGTCAGAAAACAGATCTTATCTGCGATGTATTTTGGGATCATGTGTCCCTCAAAAATAAGAATAATTGATAATTTTTCTACAATTTGGCGACTGACAACAGATTATAATTTATTACATGAATCTAGGATCTTATCCATGAATGTACAATGTAGACCTAATCACTAATCCAGCATACCAGTTTTGATGAATTGTTACTAGTAGGCGTAGATATGCTTTACCTTCATAAACGTGGCAGTTACATCAAATACAGTTAACGAATTTATGGAAGCAGGCTAAAGAATTCGTACAACCGAGAAGTTAAATGATAGTGGATTAAGATATATATATATCATGTTACCTCAGAATAGAAAACCAACATATCAGCCTAGACTACCTGTATCACTTACGACATTTGCATAGCGGCATCTCGTCTACTGGTTAGTGTAGTTGTAATTAACCTACAGGTTCGCACATAATACTACGAGCTACACCGTATATTATGTAAGGACTAGTAAATATTATTTAGTTATATTATATTATTATTAGCTTTATTCAATATTATAATTTTGGTACAATATAGAATTCTCAGCTCAAAGTATTTCAACGAGTTTCCGTTTCTTTCTTCTTGGTCGGTCCTGGCGATAAATATTGAGGAAACGCCAGTTAGATGTTAGCAGTTCAGTGAATGAACAACTGAATAATGTGCATTCTTTTCGTTGTACATTGCCAGCAACCATATTGTCTCTTATTGAGTTTTCTGTAACTTTGACAACGAAAGGTTGTACACTTTTCAGAAACGCAGCAGAATAGGTTATGCGATTAATAAACATAATGATATATTAAAACAAACAACAATAGATAACTTGTTGAAATATCTAGATGGCAGGAACAGGTAGCCCAGATGCTCAAGCAGGCCGCCCTAGTTGTTGGTAAGCCTTTTTGAGAAAACGACTACGACCTGCTTGCTTGACATTCGAACGCTTAAACCAGCAAACCATCGCTCAGCATTCATAAAATCTTGCTCCTTTATCGACGTCAAAATTTTGATATACGTAATTTATCCTTAATCCTTCCGTAAAATTACAGTTACCTTTTGTTAAGGGACACTGAAAACGAAAATTTAGTTTTTATTTTAGAAAATAGATTTCCTTGGTATGGATGCACCTCCCGTATACGATCTCAAAAGATAAATGTTGGAGATGAAAGTAACTGAAAAATGCGAACATGATAAGTGTTATGAAATATCACAACTGATTATCCTCTTATTCTTTTCACGTTTCAAAAAGATTTATCTCAGCAGTCGAGTCGTTATCTGGAAATTGCGTAGATTGCTAGGATGCAACTACGGATTTGTAATTGTTTATCCACCTTCAAAATGAGTCAGTCAGTCAGTTACAATGTAGGGCCAGGGAATACATGCATCGGTCCAAGTTACCTTCAAAATGAATAGAAAAATGTTTGAATAAAAAAGTTACATGTTAAAATGTTTACTAAGTGAAAATAAAAACACAGCTTACATTTGGTTCCGATGATTTAGTACTCTCAGGATTACATGGATTATAATAAAATGAAGCTCTTTTACGCCTCTGACGAATATGTGTGTATACATTTTGGATGAGTTTTACATCATCATACCGAAAATTTGAATCGAAATTTCTTTTTGAATCATCAAATTTTAGCTTGACTGTAGGAATTCTGGAACCCGTATTTACGAATTTCAAGTCTACTAGTGGAAAGCACATTATTTTATTGACCACTCCAGATGGTAGGGTTTTGTACATTCTATGCCTATCCCTTGAAGAATCACGTTTCCCACTACGAAATGAACCTAGGCCTTGCGAAAGAGATGATTGTCGACGCGATTCTTCTGTGCAGTTTTGATTACTTTGACTCCATGGAAAATGAGAATTAATTGGTGTAGGAGGTAGAGCATTAAGATTATTCACTAACCCACAATCACTATTACATTCATTATTACTATTATCTCCGTTTGAAACAGGATCAGATGGCAATCGGTTTGTTTCTGGTTGGCTCACTAACAAATATAAATCTGCAAGTGAAGAAGTTAATTAAATGGACTCAGTGGTCTTCATAGAAATCAAATAAAAAATTACTTATGTTCAAAACACCAGTTATATTTATTATCAAGTGCATCAAACTTGTTATACATAATCTCCAAAGATTTCAATCGTAACTTTAAGAAAAATGATAATGTAATCCGAAAATGTAATTTATAAATACCAAAATGTCGTAGTGTCCTTAGACCTGAAACACTTGTCAATTAAAGGCCTCTATAAACCTGTAAATTAACACAAGATACCTAGGGCAGCTAGCATTCATACAACTATTCTTTGCAAGCTGTTGATAAATCTATCAACAGATTTGAAACGAAAATTCATTAAACACCTGTTGCGTATACAATTCCGTAAACGTTTGGATGAACATAAAATCGAACTAACTTAAAACTTAACTTATTCTCAGATTTATCAAAACTAATGTAATTTGAACTGTCATATACATCAAATTCAAATACCATATAATTATTGTCTGTTCACACTCAGTTCCTTTGAAACCCACTAGAAATTTCCATCATTAGTTTTCATGAAAAAATAACCCAGTTATTCACCAAGATCTGAGATAATGTATAAAAAATACCGTGTTACATAGAAAAGCTGGTGTTCACAGCATTTTAGAATGAACATTCTTGCGTATGTTAGGCATAACAAGCTAAGTATGTAATTGGAAATTCTTCCTACGTAACAGGAATGTGTATTTTCTAGGTTTCTTCTCAAGATTCTGGTCAAAACACAAACGAATATATATATATTTCAATAAACACATTGAAACCTGACAAAGTAAAACAACGAACTATCACTTACAATTATTACAATTTTGCAATAGGACGCGCAAAGGATTCGGAAGGTATTCTAAACACAACAGCAAGTAAAAAATACCAAATATTCGATTCTGGAGCACATCGCTGAGCAATACACGCAACAGTTAAATACAAATTAATGCAACTCAATATGATAGTACAATTTTATGCGCTTATCAATAAGTTAATGAGGGCTAGAAATTTATACATGCTCCTCAAACCAAAGTAAAATATATAAAACATCACATTTAACACAGTTTATGAGCTTAAACCACTACTGAACCCCAGCTTTGTAAAAAAAAACACCAGTAGTGTCATACCAAGCGCAAACATGCAAAATACATGCGTTAAAAATTGACATGTATAAAACAGACCACTGGAAACAAGCGCTTAACTTATTTAAGCAACCAGGAAATGTTGGACAGCTGTTTCGTTCTAATATGGGACTTCTCAGCAGCGCGTATCCACGACCCCATCACAAATCGAACCCAAGACCTTCAGGCCTCGCATAGAAAACTTAACTTTTACACTGCTGGACGGGTATCTAATGGTCGACGGGTTTAACTCCAGCCAGCTCGCGATATCGTCTTTTTCAGTGGATAACTGAATCATACTTGAAACGGTTGGACTTCAGCTTCTCAGTGGAGAACCGAGAATTTCTTCTCGAAGTTAGTTATTGATGAACACATGTTAGTTATGAGTATGAGGATTTGTGGAGGTTGTTGGACTGATTGAACTTAGGTACCCACTAGGACGAAATAGATATCCATTGCTTCGATGGCTGTGTAATTATGATCGCTTCGTAATTTCAATAGCGTTCAACAATCTCTAGAAGTTTCAACAGTAATAATTTATTTGTATCATTTGCTAGTATTCTCGCATGATACAACTACGTACAGTGTGTGCCATCATTCTATTCTTAGATTATGCCTCTTATTGTATAAATGACGCTCTAATCTCTCATAATACGAGACTATATGTGTACATTTTATTTACAGTAATAGTTCCATGCTTGCAAGCAAATCTTAAGTTATGCATTTTTACGTGTAACTCGGTCATTGGGTTAAAGTTGTTGCATATATGTTTTGCGAACGATGATACTATAAACAGTTTAGTATTTACGTGTTATACAAAAGTTTCGCACAGATAACATAATATTTTACAACATCAAAAATGTGTAGGTATTGTGAACAATACGTTTTTTTTTACTGTTTGTCGCCAGGACAAATTAAACACTATTGAGCGATAGTAAAGCAAGTTATGAATACAACAAGTATCGTTCATGCACACATGCTTCGCAATGCGCCTCCATCAACTTACAAAATTTGAATCGCATTTGTTAACATTCTAGTAGCATGAAAGACATTAGTCATCAAAAAGTAAATATATGTATAGTACCATTATAAACTATATTGGGATAAATTGGTAAATTTAGATTCATGACTCCAGGTCAAAGAGGTAGGACACCTATCCGTGGAATTCCTTATCGATGTTCAATATCTAACATTTTTATGCTCATTCAGTGTCTGAATGCAGAATACAAGAACACAACTTTCACTAAGGATTTCATTTAAATCCTAACTTTCACTTCACTTGACTTCTTCATCCAGTAAATTGGAATGTGATACAATAAGGTGTTCACAGAAGACACATGTAAATAGCTTTAGGTCGTTAACACGAATTCCCCAGTAAAAATAACAGTTATAAGCAGCATTGATACATTAAAAGAACGAAAAAATGGCGGATATTGCTCATTTTCTTAACACTGAAAAGATTATATTTTTCCTCACGCCAGTTCTATAATAGCACAATTTTGTAGTGAATAGTTGGAATAACAAACCAGAAGGGAAGAAGAACCTATATATAACATCATAGGAATGGTCAGTATTTGACTATCCATGGTATAATACTAGATGTTTTACGGTGTATATTGAGACAAAGAATGGTCTTAGTATCAAATATAAATATCAAATAACATATTATTTGAAAATGTGATCTATACCACATGAAATAACTATCCACAGACTGCTGTTTTACAGATTGTGACTGACAGTGTTTCAAATTCAGGCAATAACTTATTATCAGTCAAGCCCAATCTATGAATGGATAATACCGTCTTGATACGGAATGATGGTCTCCAAACAAAAAGAATATAAATCTCACAAAGTTTATTGATAGTTTTATGCCTTATGACAGAAAATATATAGATCATTCCATTGTGCCTGCTGACCATTCTTTAATAGCTCCTTAGAAATTTATTGTCATACTCGCGGATGCTAACAAGAAATTAGTTGAATTTTGAGAACAATGAGAAAACTGTCAAATTCTCCTACGCAGAGTGTTGGTGAGTAAGTTACAGAGATAGCTGTCAATTCTGTTTATGTACATTAGCTTACCATAATAGATGAGTAAATAAATATTGATTTGGAAGCACGCATCAAATGTTACAACAATGATTATAAGAAAGTCAAAATGAAACAAACCAAATCTATACGCTAAGGGTAATTGTGAGTAACAATCCTGCAACGACACAAGGATGAACACTCACTTGCTAATGCCTCCTTTTCTTTAGGCAGATAAGCGCTTGGTAACCGTCCACAAAAATCTCGTATATCAGTTCTAGCTTCTATATAAAAGCAGATAAATAATACATGATCAAGTTGAAACTGTGATTCGCTAATTATTCTTATTTATTATAGATAAAAGTTTGGTACAATAGAACACCTGGAAGTGATTCACATAAGGCGGAATGACAATTTTATATTGAGTTTAAAACAAAAGGAAATATTACACTATTTATAGTAATAAGCAATGAATTGAAAACAAACAAATAACTAACATAAACGTAATTGTTTTCTCCATTACCATATTAAATTCATTATTCTTGAATCAATGATGGATAAAGTATTCATTTGGAACGTATTTATAAGAACAGTGTCAAGATATATTTAAAAAGATGGTAGCAATTACTTTAATAAGATGACAATTTTTGTCACAGACTTTTATTCGTCAATTCAGCTCAATTACTAATCCATACTTCCCAATCCCTGACCCATCAAGTGCACAAGGTGGGAAGAATAAGTGTGTAGGTAGCTGCATCACTAAAAGCCCACTGAATACGCACAAATGTAAATTGTTGGACTAATTCAGATATGGAAATATGGGTATAAACATTAAATAAGGCTACCTGATCACAGTACTTTCATTCACACTTGGATTTCGATATACCATGTAGTCTCACAACAACATGTGATCTGTCTAGGACTGCCCACTATCAAACTGATATCAGATGGAGAACTAATGAAAACCAAGATGTAATGAACAGTTGTTCTCCAACAGTTCCGTTATAGTTTGGAACTTAACAGCACATGATATGTCTATAGCCGTCCACACTATCACACCACATTGAGTAAATATATACAGACTAGTGTACTTTCAAATCATAGCTTTCATTACTACAGTGAAAATCAATTCCTGATAATAAGGTCAGGAAAAAAAGAGCATTAGACTAAAAATAGTAATTCGGAGAAGTTGTTCCAAACGGTTTATAAATAATTACTGAAAATGATAGCGGTAAATGAACAGACGCACTTACTGTACACGGAAGTTAATAAGAATATGACATCTTCATTCCCGTTGGCAGCGGCCAAATGTAAAGGAGTCATACCCTACAACAGATTATATATATATATATTATTCACTGACAGAAATATATACATAAATCGATCGGATTTATTGGTAAGATTTACTAAGTATATAACTGAGGAACTACAATATAGAACATATTATAAACTGTTTTGCATTTGAAAGATTAATTAGCGCATACATAAATAACACTAACTGTTTATAACTACTTACCTCCTGTGGAAATGAAAGCAGTAACATAGAAAGAGGAATGAAAACAGAAAAACACAATTAAGATATTTTATTTTTAAAAAAAACAACATATGAGTTCGAATATTTTGTTTAGTTATTATAGTTGCGTTAATAAAAGTTGGGTAATTGAGACATCACTCTTGAATACTTGACCGGAGAGGCGTGACATTATCCGTATCGGGACCATGATAGTTTCATATACACGACCTTCTGTTAGATCATCAGAGTACAATAGAATTCGATCGACTTGTAGTTTGGACATTTTTATTTGAGTTCTTTCGGATATAAGTAATTTTTAAGAACCAACGTGAACTGGAGTAAACCATTGAGATTCAGGTAACCCTGAACAGCTATTTCGACATGCACATTGTAAAATGTGATTGATAGACGAAACCACCAATAATAAGGGAAACGCCCACCACCACATCAACTCCTTTTGACCTTGTACGACTGTATCTCTTTATTAACCAATCACATTTTAATGTTCATTGTAAAACAATATTGGCTTGTTGACTCATTTTTCCTATTCTCTGGCTACTGTTCGGTATGTTATTTGTCTCTGTTTTTCCTTGTATTAGTAGACCGTACTGTTTGTTTGTACACTAACGATGTTAATTTATGCTTTAGAAACATAAAGTTTATCTAGCCAAATAGCTTGCTTGTTCTGACTTTGGCCAAACCAAGACTCTGTATTCGACAGTCTAGAGAATAGTTTAGAATTAAACCTGTAGGAAATTACTCCCAACACACATATCATTACATAATCAATGTTAACCTATGCTACTTTTAGTCTGAATACTGAACACTTCCAGTAATTTAAATCTAATGTACATGACTGATGTAGTTTTAATACTGAATGCCATTAACTTTCAGAAAGAGAAGTGGAACAATAAAACATTCGTAATTCAATCTTTGTGTAAAGATATTTATTGACGCAGAATACTCACATATCAACAATTCTACAACAATACTAAAGTATTTAAATATTGTGCACACAAAAAAATATGTTGACAATTTACTTTAAAATCTTTTATTCAATTAGCTTTTCTAATTATCCACCATAATTTACTCTTAGATAATGTATTATTTTTTGGGTGAGTGTACATACTTTACATTTTATATTGGACAAACTAAACCGAAAAAAATGTTGCTGTGTGTAACAATTATTACACACATCTTATTACGCAATGACTTTAATGTTTTGTGATTACTATTCCTAGTCTATTTACCCATGTTTGTTTGACCTTCTATTTCCAACGATTAACTATTGATAAGAGTTTTGTTATTGTGTTTTATTATTCTCACTATTATCAGTTCACCTGTCTTCCTACTACTATCAACTTGTACTTTTACCTATTATGTGTAGTGACTTCTTCTATTTCATTGTGATTATTGACCCATATTGTCTTGATTGGTTTAAAAAAATTTTCGTATAAATATTCATGTATATTAGAGTAAAGCCTGATGACGATCTAATTGAAAACAATTGTTCGCTTATATGTGTTGTTCTAATAATTATTAGTCAAACAGACAGTCATCATTAACATGGAATGATATAAGTTGCTATACTATATTAGCACTACGAGATGAAAAATAACATGATAATCTGCAGAGGATATAGGAATAATGTAGTAGCAACGACAATAAGAAAGGTTAAACAATAGAAAAAGCGATACGATGCCGGAAAATAAATAAGGTCCGGACTGATTAGAAAACAAATGACCTACAAGCTAGTTTCCTCCAACCACCCATAGCATTTTATTGTGTTTACTTTGTGCTCACATTTCGCATACAAGAATGTTATTTTATTACATGAAAAAATTCATCTGGTTAATGGCATTGTCTTCGGTTTCTAACTACTTAGGGGTCCAAGTCAATTATGGTTGTATAAGTACCCATCACTGGATTACATTATACCATTGTGGCTAACTAATGATTATCATTCTACTCAACGATTTTGGCAATTGAGAATTTCTTCACTTAAAGCTATCTTCATAGCAAAAAGACAGAGTGGAAAGGTATGTATGGAGCAATACTGGAGTTCAAAATCGAAAAGAAGATATGGAGTGAACGAATCTGGACTATTGTGAACTGACCGAGTTTATCACACAGACTTCAACCAGGTTCAGATCTTAAATATGTCACAGTCATATCAGCTGACGTAGCTTTGCAATCTCACCAACCGATTTGCCTATCTTGCCTGGTACCATATACCCAACTTGAATATTTCTAAATCGTTCGTTCCGCAGAAAGTGGGCAATGTTTCAAAGATACTGTAGCCTAATTTGTCTTCTACTTTCACAAACCATGTTTCACAACAGTAAAGTAAAACATACAAGACTGCTGCTCAGTATACACGTCTATAGGTTTGCAGACGGAAATCGCGTCTACGCCAAAGTGACTCAAGTAGGCAAATGCCAACTGAGCTGTCTCAATTGGTGGGAAGAATTCGTCAGATGTTGGCCTTTACTAGATAAGTAAAGTAGTCAATTTATTCAACTACTTCACTCTCTATCACTAGTTCAGGTGTTGACACAGACCAGTTTTGAAGCAAAATTTCGCATTTATGGGGAGAGAAACTCATCCCAAACATGCTTGTATTATTGCTCTTGTAAATGAAAAGACTATATTTTGTCAGCGTCTTTACCAAATAAGACTATATCATCTGCATTTTATAAGTCATAATAGGATGAACCGTAAACATGTAATACATAAAACTTACACATGACTGAGCATCAACTTGAACATGGTAATTTCCAAGTAACAATCGGATAGCAGCACAATCTCCATATTTAGCTGCATAATGTAGTGCAGTCTGAAGATCGGAAAAAATGCAAACACGGTTCGCCCATTAAAAGGTAAAAATAGTTCCTCAAAAGTAAATTAAACATGGTTAATAAAGTATATTTGAATATTTTACCGAATTGGGTTAGTGTATTAATTTCTACTGAAATGATCGTTAGTAAAGTTTCAGTAGATATACAGAAGATCCAGCTAACATTTAACAACGACTAAGGCTTGTTGTACCGGTCAGATGCCTACCTAACAATTGAGTCCCGCGCATGCGGTTTAGGTGCAATATTCTTAATTTATGACTACTAGGCATCAATAATAAAGACATCAGACATAAGATGACTTCGGATATTTAATAAAACATGCTTCTGAAATATCCCTTGTGTGTAGTTAAAAAGCATATCTATTCACGAGGTTACAAACAAGCATCGACAAAAACCTAACGCGTTAGTAGGTACCATACAACTAAGGTTGACTTTTACATAGTAAAAGTAGCCTGATATTCAATAAACAGACAAATGACAATAAATCATAAAATATTGAGGTTTAACCGAAGAAGCGTAGGGATACAATTGAATAGTTTGATGTCAGGAGACAACATAAAAGACGCGATGATCACCGATATTACAATCTGGTTTTTTTATATATTTTATATTTTTCTACTGATTCATTCTAACACCTGCTCTTCTGAGCTTCTTTGTCTTTTTTTTAATGCCGTGACATTGTTCAGTAACCTTACATCCCAAACTCAATATTGCTTTAATTAGTTAATGTTACATCCCTTACGTAATTACGGCAGAGTACGGTATAAAACTATCGGCACTCAAAGGTGCAGAACCCCAGTTGCAAATCGAAAGAAGCTGGGGAAGCGATTGTTGAGTAAGGGTCGAAAATTTACAGAAAAACAAGGATACCTATAGTTTTGAGTATAAGCTATAACATTGTTATAATCCAGCCAACATTCAAATAGGAAAGCTATATAATTGTCTAATCACAGTATGTTACGTTGATATTCTAGAAGGTTTTGACTGGATGGGATCACTTTCGTTCCTTTAAAGCCTATGGAAGCTCTTTCATGCTATCTGGGAGCAGTCCAACAGTTAAAGTATCCAAATAAGAGCATACTGGAACCAATACATAAGCTGTGTATACTTTTTTACCTTCTGACAAAATAAACAGTATGAACTAGAATCATAATTTTGATAATTTGATTTTACTTCAGTAAACTTATCAAAGATTAGGTGAATTGAATAGCTAACTACTACGATAAAACAGTAACTTGAAGGAATGTAAACTTCTCAAATCTGACGTGAAAACTTATATATACAATAGCGTAAATAAAAGCACGCACAAATAAATACTCCTACAACACTGCTAAATAACCAGTACATAACACTATAATATATATCATCAAGGAACATATATGAATATAAATACTTACATACTGTTTTTCAATTGGATTTTTCATATTCGCCATAGATTAAAAATAGTATTCAAAGAGGAAAAGTGAATTTGTTATGAGTGAGAATAAAAAAATGGAATGTTGTACGATTACTATAAGACATGATGAGATTAATTAGTTCTTAATATCACACGACAACATATAGGAACTAAAACAACTTTTATTGTTATAACATTTTGTATGCAACAGGAAATGTATCTATTTCTAAGATTAACAAGTAATCAAAATTTAAATAAAGAGGTAATATGTTGAAAAACTGTTGTACTATTGTTATCATAGGAAAAGATATGAACATCTCAATAATGTTAAAATAAAGAAACTATGTCAATGTATTCACCAATTCTGATTATGTAACTTTAAAAGTAGTTAATTAAAAAGACAAATTTTGATCGAATATAATTCACTAACCGAGTACAGGTCAAAGTACTTGGTTCCCCAAAACACACATATTACGTAAAGCGTTAGTAATATTATGTGTTACATCGAAGCATGATATATATATATACTTTTAGGGGATTTCAATAAATTGGGAGCCTATTGATTTCCATGATTTGTACTTGAAAAAGTAAATTATAAAATGAATGTTACTCAAGTCATAATTGACGTAGGACCTGGCACAAACGTACATTGATCTAAGTTAACAAACCACACAACTACGATTACAGAAAATTAAGGAGACGAATATCAAATAATTTGTGACAATGTGCTAGGAATGATAGCGAGGAGTTCATAGAGGCTCTCAGAAGTAGCAACAGTATCAGTAGTTGTAGAAAAGAGTGGATATAGAAAATACGATCCCAGAAAAATACAAACCCGTGGGATAAAAAGGTATAAGACAGTTTCGGAACTCATGATCTAAGTGACAACAACAACTGAGTGCATCCACGCCATCTCGATTGATATTGATGCATAACAACCATGGTTACGATAAGCGCGAATCCTAATCACATAGTCTGGAAGTATTAACATGACTTAAACCAGTAGTCATTAAATTCAACCTAAATTTACCGCTCCAGCTTCTAATCTAACTTCACACCAGCCAACAATTCATATTATGGCAGGTGGTAAATAATAGATAATACATTTTTTAACTAAATCAGTTGATGGGGATTTACAATCTCATCAATTAAATTGTTATCTTTCCCAAGTACCCTAGGCTGAACCTCAGAAGTGTTCAATTGGTCATTCTACGATAAGCTAGTAATATAATTCAAAGAAACTTATGATTAGAAATATTACTTGAAAGTATTTTTATTCAAGTGAACCTTGAATGTGTTACAGTATTACTATAAGCGAAGTTATTCCACAGAAAATTAGGGAAATATACAACTTTATGTAAAAAAAAAGGTGTATCGGATTGGGAATTATTTGCTTTCTGAAGAGGTAGCTTACAAAAAAATCGTAAAAAGTCAGAAAATAATTCTCAGGCTGTTTCATAAATACATATCAGTTACGATATCGAAAGAACTGTAATCTTAGTAACGCCTATTTCAAATACTTCTTTTATTTCTAACTATTGGGCACAATTCCAGTTTTAACCAAATGTATTCAGTTAACTATAAAAGTTTTAATCATGTACTAGAACTAAAAAAATAAATTTTTGTATTTTATCTTAACTAATAAGTTTTATACAAAATACTTTTTTACTTACTCCATTGATGCTAGTCTAAAAAACAAACAAAAATAATTGACAATCGAATAGAATCGAAATACACCAACATTATATGCATGATCATATAAGACTACAAGAAAGTTGTACACAATCAGACACGTAAAGTACAAATAATTATTCTTAAATAATGATTAAACAGCTAGAAAATCATTATACTACAACCCAACCAGTTGGTTATATATGTTTCGTGACAAACAGATAATTAAATGGTGATGGTATGTCAACTGAAATTACGAGAATATAATAATTTCAAGCAAATTATAACACATTAAAAGTATATTCTCATATTGACCGCCTATTCACACATACACACACAAACACACTTAAACAGATATCAGGACAGTAAAATAACCTGTTGACGTATGTTGTAATAATCATATAAAAACTAGAGCCATCAATCAGATAATAGTGATGTGATCTTCCAAACTAACACTCTAGAAGCATTATCATAAAATTTTTATGCAAACTCGAACTAGTGATTTTAATGCTAAATCTCGTGTAGCAGTAAATAAATCCCCAAAATAAATAGCTCTGTAAGTCTTCGACATTGGATGCTGATCACATTAGTTTCAATGGACTCACTTAGCTGAAGGCGCTCGGTCATGCATCCGCACCAGATCACGAGTGGGGACGCCGTGCTCAACAACCCCTGCAACCGCTAGCCAGATTAGATCAGACGATCCTCGATATATTGATAGCCCATCAAATATACCTTCGAACCTCCTCGCTTCTGTCTTTTGATTTCACTTGGTGGGTACGATTCATGTTAGAAGGTGTTACTAGTTAAAGCGTTGTCAAACTCCGAATACCTGTGGCATCTTCATTGGTGAGCCCGACGTGGTCTGGTACGCCAAATTGCAAACTGTGAGTCTGTTCCTTTTTGGGATTTTATATATCATTGCCTTACTCTAATTTTTTTTGCATTGTGATATTTGTTTCGTGTTTTTGGATATATATTTTTTTTCACTCATTCATTCTCGTACTTGATATTTCACTATGGCTGAACAGACACCCAAAGTACTTAAGCTAAGGACTATGTCCCCATCTTCGTTCCAACTAATGCCCTTTTGGCCAGACAACATCGAAGCCTTGTTCTGCTACTCAGAAGGTAGCAAACGGAAAGCCAGTAACGTTACACATCACACAACATCTGCAACAACGAAGATCCAGCGTATGGGTTTGCGTAAACCCACGTTCAGGTAAACGTACCTTTTACCGTATGTGGTGATAGGCTTTCCGTTTGCCGCTTGTAAGTTTGAAACTGATTCGCGAAGCCGGTCATTGAAATTCGCAGGAAGAACGCGCCTTCAGCTAAGTGAGTCCATTGAAACTAATGTGATCAGCATCCAATGTCGAAGACTTACAGAGCTATTTATTTTGGGGACTTATTTACCGCTCCCGTTTTTATATGAAGACTGTATTTTTCATCACTGTTAAAAGCACACTTCTCCGTTATTCTTTGTTGGCATCACAGTACGTCACTTTGTAACTGTATTTCCAACGTCATAATATATATATATATATATATAATGTTTTTACTGTATAATTAGTAACCAACCAGGCCAGATATATTTATACCTCTTTTATCACATGCTTTCTTTTAACCTAGTAACTGCTATTATACGATTTACCACTACTAATTTATTCCCAATCTATTACTTACAACCTCTGCTACTCACAGCCACTGTGGCTTGGTTTTGTGTAATTGTTATTTTCCACTTTTTGGTTTGATGTGGTCTGGTCTGCTTGTATATAAACTACGTTTGTCTAAAATATAATATTCGTATAGCAGAGGCAGATTCATTCATTCATTTGATCACGTAAATATTAGTACAAAGGGGCATTGAATGCATGTGCGCTACACAAGTCACTTGTGTGTGGGCCGTGATACCACCCGGATGCCCAAACCGAAGTGAGGGGGCCACACCCGGAGCCTTTAACCTAAAGGTCTGATCCACAAGGCAATGGAGCAACGCTAGGAAATGAAGTCCTATAGTAGCCGGTGACCAATAAATGGTTCATAGACCATTTGTTACCTCAGGATACTGGAACCCATGTGAACCATTGGTTTGGAATCAGGGTTTTCCAACTCTCCTAGGTAGATCTTTCATATCCACCAACCCGGCTGATCATTGTATTCTGGGCTCAACGGGCAGGGGGAGGTGATAAGCTACTGTATCGAGGACGAATAAAAATTCGGGGTCGATTTAGCTTACAGACAATGTTGTGAGGGTCAGTATTTTAATTGGTCGTTTTATCAAGTGATATTAGACAGGGCCATAAGTTGTAACATGATAGATCTTGGAAAATGTCTCACATGACTAACAGCCACTTTAATATAGACCTTCCCGTAAACATGAAGAACTCGCACAGCACATTTAATTTATAATTAGTTTAGACCATTGTTGTGCAATAAGATTACTTTTCTTAGTTCTATATGACAACGCAATTTTCTGAGGCTATAAATGCAAAGTGAGTCCAAATCTTATATAAAATAATACGGGTTGGTATTTTGATACAATACTGATCAGTATTTTATTAATACCAATTTGAAATGCACTTAAAAACAGCTATTAAAAATTATATACGGCTTCGTTTGAGTCTAATAATTACGGAGAACATTAAGCTAAGCATTATTCTGGTTCATACATTTAGGAAAATGAATTTGAACTGTAAGTGGTGTTCGTAATAGGAGAATTCTAAGAACACAACGACATAATTGTACAGCACATATTCACCATTAGCTGTTACAAAATATAAATAAAGTAAATGAAAATTACCTTCCATACAGCTAATTCAGGGTGTTGATTAAGCATTCTTGTCATTTTCGGTTGATCACAGTCAACGATAGCTAACAACCAATCTTTCTGTTCTTGAGTCATCTGTTGATTAGATTCAAAGTAAAAAAGTGGGAAGTATTGGTTAGAAAAAATATTTAGCTGAAATGATAAAAAGTATGTAACTACGTGATACAATGATAATTTGCAGTTTTCTTAATTTAATAACGGTTACATAATATTGTGCATACGTTAACGAGCCAGTGAATGATATATAGGGAAATAGCTGTTCAGATACAATTAAGCTTCACTTGAACGGTTAAAGCAAGTTAACCAAACCTTAAGTTGAAGAAACGTTTTATGGAACGGACGAGACATGCAGTGTGAGTGCACTCTTTATTGCTTGACTTTATGCCGTAATGGAGGTAGAAAGCATGATACTATATACGACGAGCATACGTCACAGTTGATAATTATTTTGAAGGTAAGCCTTATAATCAAGATTCTGATTTATAGGAACGTCAGTAAACTTGTCTCATTCAATTTCCATAACGACTACTGACATATACCTTGAATCGTTCGTTACTTTCAAGTTCTAGAATTCATGTCCATAACCAATTTTAAACCAGAGATTTTGACAACTATTTTTTTTACTCAAAAGTCTATATTAGATAACAACGCAATGTGAAAGCAATTTTTTAAAAAAAACTCCTGCGAGTAATAACTACGGATTACAACCGTGTAAACACTTTAAAATGGGTCACATTACAGTATAATCCCGTGGTGTGAAAGATAGTTTTATAACATTGGAATTTCAATCCATCATGAGTGTTGTCCGAGTCCCAAAAACGATGCAGTTCAGTGGATTGACGGGTTATTAGATATAATGCAAAATAGTAGCCAGTAGTGTTCCAGCTTTTGTTCTTTAATACAGCCATCATAATAGTGAGATGGGCTTTATTACCTTAACGAAATGTTTATTGGCTGTATTTTTAACTTAACTGTATCTCTTACTAAATACTATTTCTAGTTATTTCTTTACTGACCGTACTACTATTCTTTCCTTTGTTTCCCTCCATTTGTCCCTTACTATGTCAGGATCAGTAATAAATGAACATATATGGTACATAAACATAATCTATGATCAGAAACTTACCGGAAGGATAGAGGTGGAATTCTACAACAGAAAAAAGCTTCATTACTATAACTTTACGAATTTAATAGTTCGAGACAAATGATTATACTTGCTTTGACATAGTGTAAAAATCAAGAAAACAGGAATGTGAGTTGTGGGAGACAAGTAAATAGTTTCAATGTAACATTGAAATTTCTAACATATAGAATAGGATCACATTAATGTTATGAGATATTGGATAATTTAATTAATTGTTTTCTGACTCACTTTGTGTTTTGCTCTAACCTAAGCCCATCAGACAAATGTTTCATGAACCCCAGACCGCACTAATTTATTTACAATTCATCGTAGATATGTTGACAATAGAACATAACTTGATACACTTAATGTAACTAAAATTTTCATATTTAATCTTGTATAGTGTCGACTTTGAATACTAAACCTCTAAAACATGAGGGATTATAAAAAGAATATTAAATGCAAATGATCTTTACCAAGTAAAAGCTTTGATGGAAGAAAGAGTTTCCAAAAGATGAACGGTAGGAGAGAGTTAACTATGAGTGATTTATATTTGAACAACAACAAGATGAAGATTAAACAAAGCAAACAATTTATTTTTCCACATCTGCCTGGTTATGAGAGACAATATCCAAGCTATAAACATCTAACCTTAACAAGCTGCAAAAGGTTGAGTCCAGTGAATTAAAGGTTTAATTAGATAAAAGTGTAAGGATATAAATGAGACGTACTCGATAATATCAGTGTAAAAAGCATATAACAAAATCAAACTTACTATACTATTGCTCCCACTCCCATCATCTAAAGACGGTACCGTTATAACCATATTTTCTCGTTATGAAACTTGTCAGATAATAAACTTGGAAGTGTTCGGGGTAAAAAAAAAGCTACATCTACGTGTTTGTGCCGAAAGTTAGCGTATCAATAAAAAATCCGTCACTTCGACTGTTGACGATTCTAAAATAGATGAAATGATACAACCTGAAATTACGAAAATTAAGAGAACAACAAAGAGTCAACTAAGCTTCATTTCATGCGAAAGAGCTATAATAGGTGCAATGCTTGAATGAAACATGTCAACAGGTCAGTTAGCCATAAACAACGCAGAACCTGGCCCAAATTACTACATCATATCAACAGGACTAAATGGAATTGCCAAGATGAATACTATAGTAGTATCACTGATATTGAGAATGACTATGGATAAAGATGGATGATTTTGAAGAACCAACAGTCAATAGATTCATGGACGAACGCGACATTTTGGTTTGACCCTTCCCAGTTCTTTCCGACTAGACTGGTGAACAGTATAGTATACTGTGAAAGGAGTACTCCTTTCACAGAATAACACTATGTTCAAAGATTAGGCCTAACAGTCAGGTTTGAGTTGATTGAAGAACACGTGACCTGCAAGCTAGTTTCCTCCAATCACCCATAGCACTTTACTATGTTCACTTTGAGCTTATATTTCGCATACAAGGACGTTATTTTATTACATGAAAAATTCATCTGCTCAGTGGTCTTGTCTATGATTTCGAATTATTTGGGGAGGCCAAAATCTATTATGCTGTTTTATAAGTATCCATTACTGGATTACATGACACCATTGTGTTCATCAATCGGTTATCACTTTGAAATTACGCCTTAAACGAAAGAGATTTACAACACAATCACACAGATACAACCCGCCAACAATAGCAATTTAACCAAACAAAAGTGAAGCGAGATTTTCGAAATCGCGTTAATATTTCACCAAGCATCAAACCACTAGGGTTCATTAAGTTGCTGAAATGCCTAACATAGGAAGCGCGCTTTTCGAACTGGAAGCTTGGTCCTAAGGTTATTGAGTTTTTACGCAACAAAAGTACCATTTCTGATCGAAAGAATCTATTCTAAGCTATACGTTCGGTAGGTTACACTTTTTCGAGTTTCACCCAATTTATTAGTTAACTATGTTTTTGCCTCAGCTTACTACTCGGGTTTTATTTCAGTTTTTCACGTAAAGGCTAGTTCAGTTTACCTCGCCCGTTTCTATCCATTTTTGCCCGTTTTCAGTGTGCTTTTAAGTTTATTTTTGAAAGTTTTAGTCTTACGCTAGCATCTATTACACAGTTTACGTCAATATAATTGTGGCGGTAAATAAATCCCCAAAATAAATAGCTCTGTAAGTCTTCGACATTGGATGCTGATCACATTAGTTTCAATGGACTCACTTAGCTGAAGGCGCTCGGTCATGCATCCGCACCAGATCACGAGTGGGGACGCCGTGCTCAACAACCCCTGCAACCGCTAGCCAGATTAGATCAGACGATCCTCGATATATCGATAGCCCATCAAATATACCTTCGAACCTCCTCGCTTCTGTCTTTTGATTTCACTTGGTGGGTACGATTCATGTTAGAAGGTATTACTAGTTAAAGCGTTGTCAAACTCCGAATACCTGTGGCATCCTCATAGTCATGAAAAATTCATGCAAACTACCTGGATGCTGTTTCGCTGTTACATCTGTCATGCAGTGCGACAACTGTAAAGTTTGGTTCCACGAAGCGTGCACAGATCTCACAGGAACTGCTTACAACAGTCTCAGCAAGTCTGATCATAGGTGGAAATGTGTCACGTGCAGCACTGATGCTGTAGTCTTGCTGAATAACATCATTTTCCTACTGACAGGTCTGCGGAATAAGTTGTCAGGAAACTTGGAAAAAGACAGTCATAAAACGGGTAAACGAACACGTGCGCGCAACGAAAACAAGAACAGGGATGTCGACAGGTCTACCATCGATGAACATGCATTATCACTAATTATGACACGTTGAAACTCAACCTCATCATTATGTTGACGGTAGTAGACTCACTCAGTAAACTCGGGCCTCCCAGCTCAGGGACCTGGAATGCGATCGTGTTCCCCTAAAACTCTGTAGGTGATTGGATCCACGTTAACAGAGTTGTAGAGAACCAGGCGTCACCGTCTAAGCTGAGCATCCCAAGTCTTGTATGGAAATCAGCTGGTGATTTCGACGCACAGTCTACCTCCAAGAATGTCCGTCCGGTCATCAAAGAGCCAAGGATTCATAAACGTGCACAGACTACCAAACAACAAGGTGCTAAACCTGAACGCCCAGGAAAACCTGGGACGACAATAACGGTTCGTGATGACTCTCTCATAGTCATGAACCTCAAAGAAAACCCTGACCTTCCTCTCAGTTTGCAGGACAAAAGTTATAGGATGCTCTGGGGAGAACTGAACAAGAAACTTGAATTTCCAAGAATAGAGCTTTTGACGGTCACACGGCTCACTCGTGGGAAGGAATCTAAACATCATAATCACCGAGGCTACTTCGTGTAACACTTAAGAACGCTACCGTCGTTAAGGATATCTTGCTAGCGAGTCATTTACTGAAATCAGATGGGAACGTAAGAATACTGCCCAAAATACCGTATTCCGAGCTCAATCTTATCCGGAACATCCCTTAAGAATATCGCTAGAAGTATTTCCTCGAAAGAAATATAATTGTGCAAGGTGCACCAGAAAACGTGGACCCTAGTCAAGCAAATTCAGATATTGGGGAATGGAAATTCATCAAACAGTTCTTGAGGCTCAAAAACATACTCACTCAACATATGACGAGACTAACCAAGAAGGACGGTGATTCTAGACCCCGGCTAGTGAGGATAAATTTCCCATCCTCCCATACGGCGGCTGCAACTCTGGAAGCATTTCGTCCTAACAGACGTCGGTTGCCAACTGCAATCTAGGTTTACCCGGATAGGTCATATGAAGTCAAGACCAAGCACAAATGCAAGATGGAGTTGACCATTCCACTTGTGGACTGTCTCGATGATAAAAAAACGTGTAAATGAGAGGGTCTATCAACTCGGCGAACCTTATATAGGTAGGCTACCTGTCCATTCACGTAAGGCTCATACAAACAAACAGGAAGAAGCTCACACATTTCAAATCGAAGGCATAAACTCCCTATAAATGAACGCCATGAGTCTACCAAATAAAATGGATGAGCTACATGAGCTTAGCAATGTTAATTTTGCTTATCTGATAGGAATCCCTGAAACTTGGATATCTTCTCAGTTATCGGACCAGGAGTTAGCAGTCCCTGGGATGTCTTTGTTTCGCAACGACAGGAAATCAGGAATTAGGGGTGAAGTAGCCATGTACATACGACTTTGCTTGGAGGTACACCAAGTTCATAACCTCGAACTTACCAATCTTGAGGAATCCATATAGTGCTGTGTAAGATTGTCTGCTATTTCGAGGTGTCTAGTCGGACTTATATACAGGAAGCCCACCGCCGACAGCGAGTACGACAGTCATATGCTAGAAGGATAATCCCACTCTACTCGTCTCGGTTTCACTCATATCCTGATTCTCGGAGACTTCAATATCCCTAGAGTCGATTTCTCAGAACACAGTGTATTGCAGGGAAAAAATTAACTGAAGCTCGATTCTTCAACCTCACTGAGGATTTGGGATTATACGAAAATGAAAAGTAGGTAACTCGTTGGAGAAACAGTCAGACACCATCGAGCTTAGATTATATATTTACAAACGAAGAATTTCTAGTTTACAACCTCTCAACCTTAGCTCCAATGGGGAAAAGCGATCACGCTGTTATAGCCTTTAGTTTTGTCAGCAAAACTGCGCTGGAATTTCAAACGGTTGAATGCGTCAACTCTACAGGACTATCTTCAACAGGAGGATTGGGATGTCCACCCTCAACTCGATGTGGACGGTCAGTGGGACTTCTTACTGCACACGCTCATATGTGCTACAAATCATACAGTTCCTCAAACGGTCCCCCATAATTATCATCAACCCACAAACATCAGGAACCGTACTCTTCGCCTGCTAAGCCGCAAAAGGCACTGTTGGGCAGAGTACAAACGAACTGACAATAACGGCTCGTACAGGCAATACAAGCATATAAGGAACATATGCACGAATGCTATAAGAGGTAACAGGCTTCAGAACCAGACAAAGCTTATGGACAAATTTGTCTCTAATCCCAAAAGCTTATTCCGTTATGCAGCCTCTCTTCGTCAAGCCAAGACTGGAGTTTCCCTACTGATAGGTCTTGACGGCCCGACCAACAAGGATGGTGACGCCGCTAACCTTTTGGCTGAACAATACTCTATGACATTTAAACTGACCAATATCAAATATACTGACGAAAGCTTCATCTGCAACTCCAAAGGACTTTTCGAAGTGAACCTGAGCGCTGACATGGTCTTCCGAAAAATGCAGCACTTAAGAATAGACACTTCTTCCGGCCCGAATATGGTCCATTCTGCCATACTGAGGGAGGCAGCCTCAATCCTGACAATGCCGCTTAGCATGATGTTCTCACACTCGCTAAGCCAAGGAAAACTACCGGAAATTTGGAAGCTGGCTCACATCACACCAATTTTTAAAGGAGGTCAACGCAGCGAGCCTTCAAGTTACCGACCGGTGGCTCTTCTCTCAATACCTTCAAAAATCATGGAGTTCCTGATATGCGATCGTATATATGACTATTTACTGTCCTTAAATTTCTTCTCACCCCAACAGCATGGTTTCAGGAAGTGTTACTCTTGTATAACCAACCTGCTGACTGCGGTGGATGGATGGACAAGCATCCTCGATCACAAGGGGAAGGTTGATATCATCTACGTAGATTTCTCAAAAGCTTTTAGTAAGGTTAACCATATATGTCTTATCAATAAGCTCAAACGATTGGGTATCAGACCACCTCTAGTCGATTGGCTTACTTCATACCTAAAAAATCAACACTTTAAGGTCAGGGTTAATTTCACTTTATCTCAGGCTATGGAATGTCCTAGTGGGGTCTCCCAGGTTTCAGTACTGGGACCTCTTCTCTCCTTGATCTACATAAATGATCTTCCTCAACAGGTTACTTCAGAATTATTACTCTTTGCCGATGGTGTTAAACTTTGGAGAGAGAT